TGGGAAAAGAGGGGGGCAGAAAGAGAGGACAGGAAGGGCAAGAAGGAATTGCAGGAGAAAAGAGCGGAGGGAAAGGAAGAAGGAGATGTTAGCACTGAGCTTGCACAGGAGGAGGAGGAGGAGGAGGAGTTCACGAGCTCGAGGCACGGTCAAGAGGCCTCTGCTGTGTGGACGCGACCGGGGATGCCTGGCAGTGCCGAGGAGGATCTTTGCAAGAACTGCAACAAGCCCGAGTCACGTCACTTTGCGGACAAGAAATGCCGGGTGATGATGATGATGATGATGATGATGATGATGATGATGATGATGATGATGATGACGATGATGATGATGATGATGATGATGATGATGATGATGATGATGAAGACGTTGATGATGATGATGATGATGATGATGATGATGATGATGATGATGATGATGATGATGGAGATGATGATGGAGATGAAGATGGAGATGATGATGATGATGATGATGATGATGATGGAGATGATGATGATGATGATGATGATGATGATGATGATGGAGATGAAGAAGATGGAGATGAAGATGGAGATGAAGATGGAGATGATGAGGGTGGTGGTGGTGGTGGTGGTGGTGGTGGTGGTGGTGGTGGTGGTGGTGGTGGTGGTGGTGGTGGTGGTGGTGATGATGATGATGATGATGATGATGATGATGATGATGATGATGATGATGATGATGATGATGATGGAGATGATGATGATGATGATGATGATGATGATGATGATGATGATGATGATGATGATGATGATGATGCTATTATCGCTATTTCCACAGCATTCATCATTGGTCGAGCGTCATCCGTTGCTCTTGACTGCTGTCCCTCTTCTTCCTACTGCTACTACTGAAACTTCTGCTATACCTACCCCTCTTCCTTTTTCCCTTCCGCAGTGCTACGCCACTGCTACCTCTATTATTGTTCCTGCACCTGCTCTTTCCTGTCCTCCGCTCGTTCTGCTTCCTGGCTTGGTGTTTTTGAGTTTTTGAGTACATAAGGTACATTAGCTCGTTTATCCATTCTGTCCCCCCAAGCTGACTCACCCGTCTACCTAGCTCTGCTTTCGCTGATTCCTGCTTTGCCCCTCTGTATCATGTTAATTCTCCCTGTCCTGTCATCGTTCTTGACATTGTAGATCAGTCTGCTGTAGCTCATGACACATCTGATCTTTTCTTGCTTCTGACCCTTCACCCTCCAGGTGGTTGTTCGCCGCCGCTTCCAGGGTCATCGGCCCTGCCATTCAAACCGGCAAGCAGGTGGCGTCGAGGTCGTTTGCGCCATCCCCCCGCGTCTATTTCCCGCCAAGAAGAAGCTTCATGACGACTGCTACTCTCCGGTCGTCGACATCTAGCGGCGAGGAGCATGAATCAGAGATTCTGGATGCCTACTCTCGTGCCATCATATCGGTGAAGTAGAGGAGGAGGAGAAGGAGAAGGAGAAGGAGGAGGTGGTGGAGTAAGATGATGTGTGTTTTGGCAGGTGGTTGACTCTGTCGGCCCGTCTGTGGTGTCGATCGGGGTTCAATCAGAGCGAGGAGAGAGCTCGGGCTCCGGGGTCTTCTTCGCCCCTGACGGCTACCTCCTGAGCAACGCGCACGTGGTGGGGGATGCTGGCAGCGTTCAGATCACTATGACCGACGGGCGGAGCATGACAGCGACAGTGATCGGGACGGATCCGCAGACTGACCTGGCGGTGTGTCAGGCCAACAACTTCCACTCGGCTGTTCCCTTCTCACAACTCGGAGACTCTGCGCTCCTCAAGGTCGGGCAGCTCGCCATCGCCATCGGAAACCCGCTCGGCTTCGCCTCGTCGGTCTCGACGGGCGTCGTCTCTGCTCTCGGGCGTAGCATCCGAGGGGTGGCAGGGAACATCATCGAGGACGTCATCCAGACCAACGTTCCTCTTAACCCCGGGAACTCCGGAGGTCCATTGGTGAGCAGCAGCGGGAAAATCATTGGAATCAATACAGCCATCATTGCTGGGGCTCAGGGCCTCAGTTTCAGCGTCCCCATCAACACCGCCAAGTGGGTCCTGCAGGAGATCCTGTCGCATCGCAGAGTGAGACGAGCTTGGCTCGGCCTCTACTGCCAGGTTGGCGAGAGAGAGGAGGGGGAACAAGACTAGGGGAAGGGGAGCACGTATGGGGAAGAGTGGGAGCAAGGAGGGGGGAGGGAGCAAGGGGGGGGGGTGGAGGAGCAAGAGAGGGTAGGGGCGAGAGCGAAATAAGAGAGTGCTCCAGGTGGTCGTCATCAGCCCAGAGTTCCGTCGAGCTCTCCCTGAAGTGCTTCACAAGAGCAAAAGTGTCGTGCACGTGAGGGGCCTGGAACCTGATGGCCCCGGATGGCGAGGAGGTGTTCAAGTGAACGACTTGGTGACGGCTGTCAACGGAAAGGTGGGAGAAGGCGAACGGGCTGAGGAGGGAGAGGAGGGGGAGGGGGAGGGGGAGGGAGAGGGAGAGGGAGAGGGGGAGGAGGGGGAGGGAGAGGAGGGGGAGGGGGAGGAGGAACCGAGGAGTAAGGGAATGTCTTGCAGGTTGTTGAGAATATCGACGACATCTATCGATGCATTTCATCGCACCCTCCATCCGACAAAATGTTCACGGTAAGGGGGAGGAGGACGAAGGCGAGCAGTGAGCGTGAGCAGGTGACGGTGGCGCGACGAGTGAAGCAGGGAGAATGGATGGTGATCGACCTTCAAGTTCCTTTCATGGAGCGACCTGCTACAACTCGCAGGGTGAGAGAATGATTGCTTGTCCCTCTACCCTCCTCCTGCCTTCGCCAATCTTTCCCTTTCCTCCCTGTGTTCCCATTGACTTGTTGTTACTCAGACTGAGAGGGTCCCCTCCATCAAGTGGTGATCTAGTTACTTCAGCAAGAATGTCTTGTCTAGTGAGTACAAATATCTCAGGAGTTACCCGTCCTTCACAAGTTTGGATAACTGCGAAGGGAGAGGAGGGTCAGCCCATGGAGACCGCGGAGGAAATGAGGAACGAGGATCGAGGAACGAGGAGGGGAGGGAGGGGAGGGAGCGGGGAGGGGAAGGAGAATGGGAGTAGTTCAAGGATGTCTTACGGATCAGGGCATGCGAGGTCTTTCTCCGTGCCGTCCACCTCGATTCCTTTCCTGCGGTTCACGTCAGCCTCTCTCACCTCACAGCAGCCGCTACTTGTTGATGTCCTCGTGGTTCGGGGTCTCGTAGCGGGCGATGGTGCTGGCGACTGCGCTACCGTCGAAGAGAGGAGTGACCTGCTGCTAGGTCACCTCCTCCCTCCGCCCTCACCTCTCCTGCTTCCTCCGGATCTTTCTCGTCCCTCCTCCACTGACTCCTCCCTCCTCCCTTTTCCTCACCGTCTGGACCACTCCTTTGCCGAACGTTTTCTCACCCAAAACCTGCATTGTAAGCTTCACCGCAGGAACAGAGAATCGCTGGAGGGAGGGCAGAGGCGTCTGTGAGGGGGAGGGGATCCAAAGGGTGAAGTTTAGAGGTGCTTTGTAAGGAGGGAATGGGAAAGGAGGTATTAAAGGATTGTCAGCAGAGACACCACGGGAAGGAGGAAGGAGCGAGGGAGGAAGGAGCTAGGAGGAGAGGAAGGGGAAGAGGAGGACGGCTGACCTTGGCTCGCCCGAGATCCTTGAGAGCACCGGTCACGATCTCAGACGCAGAGGCAGTATTCCCGTTGACGAGCAGGAACAAGGGGTTGCGGGTGTCTAGCCCGTCGGCTGAGCTCGAGAAGGAATCTTGAAGCCCGTCCTGCCTCAATCATGACCCAGCTGGCATTCAGCCGTCTCCCTCACCTTGTTGACAACGTACACAATGGGCTTCCCGGCAGGTAGAAACAGAGCGGCGGTGTCAACCCCAGCCCTGAAGTATCCTCCCGCGTTGTCCCGGAGGTCCAGGACGTGGCAGGTGGCACCAGCCGCAAGATTCTTCTGCATGACATCCTTGACAAGCTCAGCTGTCTGCCGGCAAGTCATCCTCACACCCTTGGTTTGTCTGCTTCACCTGAGTGTCGAACTGCTTGATCTTGATGTAGCTGACGAGCAAACTATCAGCTGCTTACAAAAGTCTCGCCTTTACCTCGTCTTGCCGTTCATTCCTCCTGTTACTGGTTTCACTGCCACCTTTCGACGCTCAAGCGTGACTTCCGTCTCCTCCTGACTGCCTGGCAACCTGAGCTTCAGCTTCGCCTGTCAATGTGTCACTCATCTCACGCTTGAAGGAGGAGGAGGGGGAGGAGAGCAGGGAAGAGGAAGCATCCGTCGCACTTTGGTTGCTGTTGGTCCTCGTAGGAGAGCAGCGACGTCGTCCGGGGTGCTCTTGCCATCATCTGTTGGGATTCCGTTGACCTGCACCACTAGACTTCCTCGCTTCAAGCCGGCCTCAGCCGCGGGCGATGCGTCCAAGACCTGGCGCAAGGTGAGCAGAGATCAATCAGAGAGGTCGATCATGCTCGCATACATCAACAATCTTGACGAGCTTGTTCTGTTTGTCGAGAGAGAGAGTGACGCCGATGCCGGAGACCTGAGCATACCGCATGAACGTGCAGCGAGGACAAGGGTCTGACACTTACATCTTGGCCTTTGCCTACCTGAGAACAAGAAAGCGTGAGAGGGATGTCACGAGACAAGTTGAGACTTACAATCGAGTTCTTGAGAGCCTCGAACTTGACAGGGTCAATGAAACGGGTGTACTTGTCTCCTAGGGGCTCTAGGAGGTCCTTGGATATGGCATCATACCTTACAGACAGTCAGGCAGAGAGGAACAAGACAGTTCTCTCAAGCTCAATCATCACTCACACTTGCTGCCTGTCCGAGTACTCGCGCTTGACCACGTTCTGTCTGAGTTTCATCCAGTCATGGTTGTTGAAAGTTCGATCAACGAACGTTGCGTCCACCACCGACCAAACATCAGCAGCCAAGGCTTGCTCTTGCGAAAACTCCGCGTGCGATATCGTTGGTTGTCCCAGGAAGAAAGAAACCGTAGCAAAAAGCAACATGGCAGCCTTCTCCAGACTCACAGCCGAGCCCATAGACGAGCTGTCGCTCCCTACGATCGAGCGCATGTGGAATAGCGTTGCCGTTGGCACGGTCGCATGCTCGGGCGTCTTCTTGGCATTGAGCCTGCAAGCAGGAGATCCCCTCGAAGCATAGCTCCTCGCAACCGCGTGATGAGCCCGGAAGGCCAGGACTTCAGACGTGGAGCATCCTACCCAGATCCCCAAGATCCCGAAAAGGAGGCGACGGCACGACATGCACAAGGAAGATGTGGAGGTCTGTGCTAGGACGTGAACGAGGAGCAAGCAGTAAGCCCTCCTCTACTGTCTGCTGCTTCTACCAGCAGGTCGCGGGAAGGAGCAGAAGGAGAGGGGGAGGAAGCGGAAGCGGGGGGGGGGGCAAGACGGATCGCAGGAGGATGCAGGGCTCTCACTTATAAAGACCGCCGTGTGTAACGGCTGCAACTGATGCCATATTGATTCTCGTAACGGCAGGCGCACCTATCTGGCACTGAAACAAGGATAAAGGAGACTCTCAGGAAGAAGGCAGAGAGATCTCAAGTCAAGCTGATCGAGTAGCAGAGTCAAGAGGCATCATCTCAACCACGCTCTGCCGGAGCCCATCGCTGAGTCATTATTTCGTGAGTTACTGAGTCATCCGATCGCCGACAGCTGCGTCGACAGGGTGCTGATGAGCTCAATCATGGATGCTTCTAGGATTGAAGAAAAAGTCAGAAGACATGAGCGTGAATTGAGCTATGCTTGCTATCCTTGTTGGAGGATTCTCCAGTTTCTCGACAGGTAGTGAAACAGAGCAAGTTTTGGCAAGTTCGGGTGTAGCAATATGATATCAAAGATTGAAGAACAATTCAATGAGCTCTACTTCTTGTCGCCTTCTTCTGGTGCCTGCTCAGATGCATCTGCATTCGCCGCACTCACCTGGAATTCCTCAGACAGGAGTTCCTGGCACCGGGGGTCATCTATCTTGACTTCCTTGAGCAAGGCAGCCACTTGCTGGCGGATCTCAGCTGCAGCAGAAGCCTTTTCATCTCCGGCAGCCATCTGACGGTTGCACTCCGTGAGAATAATGCGGAACTGAAACTTGTCGTAGACTTGCTCGAGGTCCTGCATCTTCTTCATCATGGCAATGGCCTCCGAGAGTTTTTCACCAGCACACAAGGAGTAGATCACTGCGTTAAAGGTCCTCTTGTCTGCCATATTCATCTTCACGTGGTAGCAGAACAGCGCTGCCGCAACCATCTCCTCGTACCGCCCAGCTTTGCCCAGCGCAGCCACCAAATGTACGCATGCAGTCTTGGGCAGGCCCAGACGATAGACTCTGTGCGAAAATAACAACCTGAGAGCAGCATCTAGATGCTCCTTCCTGATGCAAGCTTCCATCAACAATCCCCCTGATTCAACGTGAAGATCCGTGTACTTCACGCGCAAAAGACCGTACAGATAGAAGGTCCTGTTCAAATCTTCTTGAGTTTCGCATGCCTTGATGTATTGATGCATCTCGCCCCTGCTAGGATACAATTTTCTTTTGAATCTTTCCATCAGGTATTGAAAAATGGTGGGGGCATCCGATTCAAAGATCATATGCTTCTGCTGGCGGAATTCCTCTCTGGTGAAGACAGGCGGAATGGACACCTGGCTCTCCTCTGCGGTGTAGCTGCGACGCTGCCAGGCGGCGCGAGCAGGAGAGAAGGAGGGAGAGGGAGAAGATGTGAGAGAGCCAAGGGAGCCAAGGGCTGGTGCCAGCCTCCTTCCCTCAGCCCATGACGCCCGCGCGTGCGCCGCGGCGGCCCGGAGCATCAGCATGTAAGCGTCTCCTCGGCCGTTTTTGGTCGTTACACACGAGTGGTTATATAGCGGTTTTATTTTACGTTACATATGCCGTTACAAGGGCGTTGGAATTTGGTGGTGCGTTTTTCATGCAGTGAGGGTTGAAGTAGCGAGAGGAGGAAGAAGGAGGAAGGTGCCTGAGCGAGAGGGGGAAGATGGAGTGAGCAGTAGAGGATCAGACTACTACTTCACAGGCTCTTGACAGCTGGATCTGACGAGCCATGTTTGGCAGGTAGAACAACCTTGACGGAACGACGCTTGTGCGGTTAGTGTGGACTTTGGGACGATGAGAGAGCTCGAGCCAGCAGAGCATAGATGGAGGCGAGAAACCAAGAAGGTGACCCCACATCATTCTTGTCTGTGAGTCATCGTGTTGGTTTCCAGGGTCCCATGCCTCCGCTACCATCATATCACACGCCCATCCCGACGGTTCTGTCGCGAGGAAACGAGCAGGGGCAAGTTCCTGATGTGACAAGTTTGAGGTCGGGGATCTTCTTCTGAATCTCTTGCAGTATAAGGATATCAACACTCTGCGCATGCTCACTGATCTCGTGCGGCCTGTCGCACAGGCCGCTTGTCCTCCCCATCGAAGGTACCATTTGCCCTCTAGTGCTGTAACATCTGACCTACCCGATCAGCGTGCTGCATCACAAGTACGAGGAGCTGACGTCACTCGTGCAACCGCGGGGGCTGCTGGAAGATTGCAACGAAGCACAATGGATGCGGGAGACCGTGGCGTGTGCGGAGCAGGGAGGGTTCCGACGGAAAGTGGCAGGAGCGCTGAGCATCGTTCAGCTGAGGTTGGGAAGCGGTTTCCTCTTGCGTCTAGCTGCTGACTCGACGCAGAGGGACTGGCGACTTTTGGGATTTCCTGTGGCAGCAGCTGAATCGTCGGATAGCAGAGAAATGCATGATCTTTGTACGCGCAGTCCACGAACCTGGCGTGTCTCAACAGCACAAGTACATAGTTCCCCTTAGGTGCGTGAGCTGATGGCGATGCGTCAGGACAAGGCTCCTGGAGCAGCTGGCGGAGCTCTTGAAGCTCAACTCGGCGCTGGCGGTGGGGTTTGTGACCAACGGATACGACTCGATCAAGGTGGGAGGGAGCAGGAGAAGCGTCTCGCTGATGGCGCTTGCAGGAAAAGTTTGTGAGAACTCCTGACATCCCTCCGGCCGAGCGGTCGCACGAGCACGCACTCCTCGAGGGTTGCTGACGTCACCGGCAGGTTGCTCCAGGGCCTCGGCGCCCCTCTCAACTCCACGCCTGTGCCGGTAAGTCGCTTCCGGTACCTGCAGCGAGTGAGAGCTACTGCAGCTGCGACCCCGCGTGAGAGGGCTGCGTCTGGACTTCCTTTGAGGACAGGGGCCGAGGAGAAGGAGCAGGACGATGTAGATAGAGGCTGTAGACTTGTTGTTGATAGAGCAAGACCTTGTTTACTTCTTCTTCTTGGCCCTCTGGTGCTTCAGCATAGCAGCTTTCTGCTCCTCCTGAAACTTCTTGAACGCGCGAAGCTTGTCCGCTTCAGCCTGTTTCTTCGCATCCTCGCGCGCTTGCTTCTCGAGCTCTTTCTTCTCCTCCTCCTTCCTTTTCTCCTCCTCTTGAATAGCCTTCTGCCGTAGGGCATACTCGCTGACTTCAGCTCTAGATTCCTCCTCGATCTGCCAGGCCGTGAGCACATCTAACATGAGAATGCATCGCTCACCTCCATTTGTTTTGCTGCTTCCGCAGCCTCAATCTCCTGACGTTGCTTCTCCTCCTCCTCCAATTTCAATCGCTCAAGGTCAGCCTTCACCTCCTCCTCAGTATGATGCGTCTTGGTCGCCTGATCGCTAGCCAGATCGATCAGCTCCTGCAACTTTCGCTCCGCCGCAGTCTTGACGGAGTTGTCGGTCGACACCTGCAAAGAGGCAGTGAGAAGAAGTTCGAGACTCCATCCCAAACCCCACTCACGATCTCCTTCTGAAGCTTCTGCAGCTCCTCCGCCAAGTTCTCGAACCTCTGTTCCAAATGCGCTGCTGCCATGCCCTGGTACAAGCTCTTAGTCACCCGGGCGACCTGCAGCCTCCTACCTTTAGAAATGCCGCGAGCGCCGTCGCCCCGTAGTGTCGCATCTCCGGGCTCGAGTCCTTGACGCAAGCAACCAGGTCGGGCATGATGGCAGGGACATAGGGAATAAGCTCCTTGCCGTCGATGACCAGACCGCACATGTTGCCAACGACGAGGAGAGCTCTTCGCTTATCCTCGTTCCTCTTCTCCGTCAAGCCTCTTCGGAGCACAGGCACCATGAGGGCGAGACAGGGACGGTCGATCGGGTTCATGAATGTCACGTCCATGAGCTTTTCGACGCAGGGGTTGGTCATATCGCCGGGTGAGATGATGGCAGACACGATCGGGTCAACCATGGCCTTCATCTCAGGGCTGGTGATCAGTTCGTTTCCTATGGTAGTTAGTGCAGACTTGGCGGCAGTTTGAACCTCCGCCTTGGTGTCGGAAAGCGACTCGATGACTGAAGGAACAATGCTCTGAGAGATGCTCGTCACCTGCCGCCGAGCTGCAACCACCTTCGACTCCACGAAGTTGAGGCAGAAAACGCGAGCTTGCCATGAGGTGGACGCTGAGTCACCGAGGGCGCGTCCGACGATGGGCATGACGGCATACAAGGAGTAGTTGGAAAGTAGGGACGTGAAATCCTTGAAGGCGTCCTCAGCCGCTGCCTTCACTTGGGCGACCTTGTCCCCGAGCTTGGCGATGATTTGCGGAAGAACATTCCCTGCATAGGGCTCGAAGATGTTCTTTAAGACGAGAGAGAGCGCCTGATATGTGCGGAGAGCCGTCTCCCTCTTCTTGGCGTCCTTCTTGTCGTTGACAGCTTCCTCCAGGCGGTCTAGCACCCCATGCGAGCAGAGGGCCTTAGACGTCACTCCCTTGACCACTCCTGCGATGCCAAAGGCGACGGTCGCAGCGTCCTCCGTTCCGAGCCCAGAGAGGTAGTGGTTCAGAGTCTCCGTCCCCTGCTCGGCGGGCAGCACCTTAATCGCTCGGCTGATTCCGACGGCGCAGGCGGTCTGCACGTCCAAGGAGGGGCAGGCGAGCAAGGCAGCGATGCGATTGACCGTCGACTTAGCTACTTCCACGTCTCCGAGACGGTTGGCGACGCCGCCGATGACGAGGGCCATGGAGGCTGCAGTCCGATCAGCTCGATCAGCATCTTGCTCGCCGTCGCCGTCGGTGTCGAGGTAATGATGGATCTTGGACATGATGAACTGAGCCTCCATGTGAAGGGCGATCCCTTGACCCCCTCCCCTGATCTTCGCGTCCTCGTCTCCCAGGGCCTTGAGGACCGCCTTGTACAAGGTCTCTTGGTCCAAGGAAGCGGCCTCTGACACTTTCTTGCCGCTGACGGCGGAGCCATCCACAAAGAAGTTGCTGGGAATCAAGGACGCTATCTCATCGTTTGCCATGGCCAACAGATCGTCGACCATAGGCGAAGCTGCACACATACCAACCTAGCAAGTACTGCCATGTCAGACCGAGGTCATTCGCGATGAAGAAGGTTCATTGTAGGACTAGGCTTCTCTCCTTGCCCAGCTTCCCTCATGCAAAAATGATTCTACTATCTTTGATTTTCTTCCCATGGTCTACAGTTTCCTATCTGACTAACTTCATAGTCATCTGCGACGCTGCTCTGTTACTCACTCGACATTCCCGCCCCCGCCCATGTCCCTCGCCCTTCCCCTACGCATCTCCTCTTATCTCCATCCCCATCCCCATCCTTCCTCGACGCACCATTATCGGTTCCATCTCTTCGCCCATCTTTACCCGATGTCTTTATCGATACATTATTTCACATTCCATCTTCATTCACCATCTCTTGCCTTCTTATATGATAATGTCTATTTTCGTCCTTGCCGTTCTGCTTTCTCCACATCCTCTTCTACTTCGCTGTCTTAATCCTCAAAACTCCGTCTCTCCTTCCCTTCTCCCCTCCTTCCCTTCTCTCCTCCTTCCCTCCTTCCTGCTCTCGTCTTCTTCTTTCCTTCCCTCTCCTTCCTCCTCGCTTCCATCATCGCACGTGTGCACGTCATGGCGACTACTCCGCCACCTCCCACGACCCTCCCAGACCTACCCCACCCTTCCCACATTACCCACCCTCCTGAAAATTTGAGGCTGGCTGAAACCCTACCCCACGTACCCTGCAAGCACCCCAGTCTTGACATTGTAGTAACCCGCATTTGAAACTACCCCTACCCCTGTGAAAGTACCCCTACCCCTGAGGAAAAAATAGATCCAATGTTACCACACCTGCACCCCCCCACCCCACATTTTCCTTATCATAACCCCTACCCTCATAGCTTCTACACCTCCACCCTTTCGTTCTCCTGGACAGTCGGATGTACCCTACCCCCCCAAAATTCCTGACCCCCTACCTGTGTTGACTACCCGGTTATTTTGGACCTTCAGCACCCCACTTCTATTTTGGTTAATGACCCCTACCCCCATGAGACTAGTGCTGACCTCTTGACACCACCCCTGGTGTGGCTCACATAAAGGGAAGTGGGTATGAGGGACATGAAAAAATCAGCGCATGAGGGCGATGAGATATCGAGAGTGAGGGCGATGATCGTCGTGCAAGGCGATGCGGCTGATGGGCGAGGGTAGAGGAGGAGGAGGGAGAGACTAGGAATGCTGAACCCATCTCACCCTCTCGACCCCTCTTGGTCCTCCTATCTGCTTCTCCTCTGCTCCACCTCGTCGGTCTCGTCCCCCCTCGACTAATGTTGGCGAACGGGAGGATGACGAAAACATGGCGGAGGAGTTGGGTGTGCTCAAGTCTGTTCCTGGTGTTGATTCTTGTGCCCTCTCGCTCCTTCAGTTGGGTCAACCACGAGACGAACACCTGCCGCCAAGCAAACCCTCGCGCTACTGTGGCTCCAGCCTTGCTGAAGTTGAGGGGGGGTAAAGGGAGAAAGAAAAGAGGAGCATCCAGTAGCGAAGATAAGGAGTCCAGCGACGGGTGGGCCTCAGGGGAAGACAGCCCTTCCACGTCAGAGGAAGAGAAGAAGAAACAGGCTGAGCCCCGGGGCATCCCTCGAAGACGAGGTGATCGCCGCTCTGACTCCTCGGATGTGGGCAAGGCATCGAGCGACAGTGGGAGCTCGTGGGAGGAGGGATCCGAGCGATCTGAGAAGTCATCGCAGTCTACACTGAGTGAAGATGGTACGCAAGTGACTCGTTTCACCTCATCTGATGCTGACCATGTTGCGCATGAGCAGAGCCGTCCGAATTGCACGTTTCAGAGGTATGGCAGGAGTCTCTACTACTCAGCGCTGCACTGACTCTATTCATCCGAAGCTCCCCGAAGATGTCATGGAAAGGTTGGCTGAAGAGGAAGAAGAAGCGCAGACAGAGAAGGGATCTGTCGACCCATCCTTCGAAGCAATGATCAGAGGTGGTACAGACATTTGATGTGAGCTGACAATTAACTTGTTCCCGGACAGAGAGGCATCCATTCTACATCCCAACCCTCGAGATGATGAAAAATCAGGCATTGGAGAAGAGAACATGTTGTCGTGCGCCATGACTGATGGATCTTCCTTAGATGCATCAGCCTAAGAACAGAACAAGAACCAGACGACAACGGCGAGCAATGAAAGTTTCGCAACCTGCTTCTGTTGACACTCCTCCCTACCAACAGGATAACGTGGAGAGGCCAAGAAATCGACCCTGAGGTCTGTCTCCTCCTCCTCCTGCCTTGCGATATCTTAGCGGCTACCTGTGCTCCACCTGCAGGATGAGTACATCGACTTCTTCAAGTACCGGGTCAAGTGGTGCCCGGACAAGTTAGACGCCCTTTCTCTCAACCAATCCTCACTTAGCGTGTATTGTTGCAGAAAGTTCTTGCGTCGACAAGAGCAACACCGCAAGCTTCAGCCGTGGATGTCGCATGCCACTAAAGAGGTCAGGAGCAAGTGCTGCAAAGTCTGCCTGTGACTCTTCTCAGCTCCTTCGTCTGGTCTTGCCCCTACGTGGTACAAGGCACTTCGGGTGACTGCATCCTGCTGGCCCTTCAGTGCCTCTCGCTGCCTACCATTGCTCCATTGAAGTCCTCGCTACCTCTTGCTCCAGGGTTGCCTGCGGCTGCTGTGAGTCTGAATGTTTGTTTGCAGTGAGCAAGTTTTTAAAAGATACACGGACGGTGAGTAAGAGTTGGTCAGTCACTGAATGACAATGCAAGACAGGAAAGGACGAGAATGGGAGGTACATTTGGAAACCCGACCTTCCTCCTCATCTCAAAGTCTTCGGAGACGTGAATGAAGACTGCAGCTCTCTTGTCTCTGTGACGCCAATGCAGACTATTATCAATACTCTCAGCTCGAAACAAAACTTCACGTTGCCCTACGAGACCTTGGGTTGTTGTCATTTTGTTTTGTTCTCCTTTCTTTTCATCCCCTTCCTCTCTCTGAGATACGTTGGTCCCTACTGCTGTCCCCTACCAACCTGTCTCTCTCCTTGCTTGCTGGCTGCTTTCAGTATAACGTCTTTTTGTTCCTGCTGTTTGCTTCCTGCCTTTATTCACTCATCAGTTCATCAGATTCTCTTCACAATGTGGATGACAAATCAAGTTTGAGCGTCAAACGAGCTTTGAAAAAACATAAAGCTGAGCCTACAGCTGGACCGAGATGGTTGAATTCCTCTTATCATCAGGCCCTCCGTCATACTTTTTCTTGCAGGTTTGACCTGCCTAAAGGTCCAGACCTCAAGAGCCGTCCAGACCTCCGAGCTGACTTCAAACTGTTAACTGAAGTGAGGGCACATCTATGTCAAAAGCTTGCTCTATGCCTTGCCTTTTCATGTACTTGTGTCAGCTGACTTGTGCTCTTGCCTTCCTCCCTCGCTCTTCTCTCCTTTGCGACTTCGCAACTTTCCCTGTCGAACTCAGAGGAACACCTGGGACCCCAAGAATCGTTACAAGTCTCTCGGTAAGATGCGTGCTGCACGAGATTGCAGCTGACTGTCCCGGACAGGATGGGAAAAGAAGGGAACTACCACCAAGTCACCGACCAAACTCGAGTACCCAAAATACTTCGCGGTACGTGTCAGCTGCAGCAGCGCTATGGCTGAGATGCAAAATGGCAGGAGGGATACTATGCGATCGATCCCAAGCATCCTTGGTGACGGAAGGATGATTAGTTTGAAGCTTACGCCCAGCAGGGAAAATCTTCCGAAGCATCTTCGCTTCAAATCGTTGACAGAACAGGTGGAAAATAGCATGCACGCCTGACGATTTGACAAGCATGAAGATCATGGCGGACGACCGGATCCGGCGGAAGATCAAAGAACGCTTTCACAGGCAGCAGAAGTTAGCAGGTGCTGGGTGTCGACTTTTGATTCTTCTGGCCTTTAACGACTAGCAGCGGAAGAGAAGAAGCTCAAGGGCCTCACTGAAAAACCGACAAGACCTCCACGACCCCCACGACCTGTCCGCACATCCCATACACTTCCAGCGCCTGACTTGAACATGAAGGCCACTGGTCGGAGCATCATGATCCAGAAAAGCTTGAAGAAAATCAGAGCAGTGCAGGTAAGCTTCATTCCAACCTGCTCCCTCTCCTTTCTTTCCTTTCCCCCCGTAATGAATCTCACAGAGGGAAGGATACGACGGAGAAGGTCCAGACCCCCTCGCCGATAGGGAGCTGCCCAAAATGCCGTCCATGGGAGGCACAGGTAGCCCGGGGGCTTTCGAGGTGACTCTGCTCACCCCTCATACTCCAGGCAAGCCCCCGACGGAGGAGGAGATTCGAGAGGAGAGGATGCAGCGGTTAGGTAAGCTGTGCGGTATGAGGAAGCAGGGAGGCGTGCTGAGTAGGTCGGATATGAAGGAATCAAATACAAGAAGAAACCGGAGCCAGCCCAGAAAAGGACATGGTTGTAAAGAAAGTTGAGAAGAAGGTAAAGAAGAAGAAGAAGAAGAGGGATCCGGTATGTCGTACTGTGAAGTTTGTCGATAGTATTTGACCGATTTATGTACAGAAACGTCTGTTGTTGAAGCGCGCCACTGGGAAACGAGATGGAGGGCCGCCATCAAGGAGGAGATAAACTTCAACCAACTGAGTCTCAGGTGACATCCGATCTACCGTTGCCACCACCAGCCTTCAATGTGTGTGGATAGCTGATATGGGTTTCTACTCAGATATTCACGTCTCCGATGATACCTCACCGTGCAGGACCGTATGGCTAGTGGTCAGCCACAAAGTTGGCAAATCAACTTGGCAAGACAAGTCCGATCACTACAGTACCCATCTTACTACTCAGTAGATAATATCAGTCTACCCGGCGTGGCCCGGGGCACGGCCTCCGAGAACGCGCGACCTCGGCCCTGAGCCTGCTCGTCGGAGCCGCTGACCCGGCGTACCGGGTCCCGGCCGGGGGGGCCGCGAGTACTACTGACAGTACCGTAGCAGTACGGTCAGGGGCGAGTCCCTGATCCGGCTCGGCCCCGGATCATCACGGGTGCCACGGTGCCGCGCCCACATGCTGGCCCATCATCAGTCACTGAGTGTAGCTGGTCCCCACGGGCGTTACGTGATGCGAGTTGCCGGGGCGGGGGCCGCCTCTTATACCGTACCGCACAACCAACTTGCGTGACCTGCTGAAGAGTCGTTTATCAGCACGAAGGCAGGACATAACTTGGACCGTCAGTGCCGCATCATGTGCAATCCGACCCGGTCACTGGGGCTCGCCCGATCGCCGGACCGTCACGGTGCCGGCCGCGCGAGTCCCTGCGCCGTTGGCGACCGACTGGCGGCGCCCGGCCAGTGCCACTCGATCAGTGTTAGGGCCCCCGGAGGTCGCCGGGCGCCGCCGAGTGGCTCCCCAGGCCCGTCGAGTCACTGGCCCGCTCGGCCCGCGAATCTGAACCCGCCCGCCCCCCCGCCGCCCGGCCCCGGGGCCGCCGCGCCCGGCGGGCGGGCGGCCCGGGCCCGGGCCCCGGTACAGCGAGTCGGCCCGGTTCCCATCATCATATTGCAGGACCAACTGTTGTAACCGTCAACAGCTACGTGGCTGCAATGGAGGAAAAACAAAAAAGACAAAAAGGAATGGCCGGAGAAAAAAAAAACACAAGGGACAACAACCCCGCAAATAGCATGGTCATGAGAGTGGAAGAGGAGATGAAACAGGCTAGTCAAGATGGGACAGAGCATGATGGAACTAGACGGGAGTCACCAGAAGATGCAGGCAGAACACTTATAAGGGTGAATCGGGTGTTGCAGTGAGGTCGGGGGCAGTTCTAAGGCCTGGAAAGAGATTCAGACATGTGGCTGTTGACTTAGCGATGGCTGAAAGAACATGAAGATGTGCAGCTCTGTTCTTATCGTATGAGTTGATCTTTTACTCTCATGTTGTCAAACGTGCTGACTTTCTTCTCCTCGCGAAGATGTCGGACGAGCAAGACACTCCCGCCCCCCCCGAGGTAGCAGCAGCTCTCCCTCACTGACCTCTCAATGCCTGACGCTGTTTATAGATGATCCAGCTTCCTGACGGGACTTCGCTACCCCCACTGGCAGATGGCGAGTACGATGCCATTGTTCTTGGGACTGGTCTCAAGGAGTGCATCATCTCCGGTTCTCGCGCTTGCTCCTTCTTTGCTCCTTCTTTGCTCCCTCCTTGCTCCCTCCTTGCTCCGGGCTCATGCTGCTGCAGGCATCCTGTCTGTGGACGGTAAGAAGGTGCTGCACATGGATAGGAACGACTACTATGGAGGAGAGTCGGCGTCGATCAATCTTAACCAGCTGTTCCAGCGCTTTGGAGCTCAGCCGAATGTACGTGCTGATTGTGAGGAATGTACCATGATTTCTCGTTCTACTTCAGCCTGCTCTCGGAAACAGCAGGGACTTCAACATTGACCTCGCCCCCAAATTCATCATGGCAAACGGCAAGCTTGTCAAGATGCTGATCATGACCAACGTCAATCGCTACCTCGAGTTCAAACAGGCGAGCATCGTACCGATCTTGTCATTCCTTGACAGGATAGTCAGGTCGATGGTAGCTACGTGCTCAAGGATGGAAAGATCAACAAGGTCTTGTTCTGCAGTGCCTGATGATGATGCCCAGGAAAGCTCACACCCTGCTGATTAGGTTCCTGCAACCGGCACTGAGGCTGCTTCAACGCCGCTGGTGATGACTTCAAAGTCCTTCCCGACGTGTTGTGCTATCTCCCTCTTCTTCCAACGCCATGTTTCAGCTCCCTACATGCTTGAATTTCACACTTCCTGCGCAGGTTGGGTTCTTCGAAAAGAATCGTTTGCGCAAGTTCTTGGTCTTCGTGCAGGACTTTGATCGCAACGAACCAAAGACACATCAGGTCAGGACGTGTCTGAACGACGCGTCAGTCATTCACAATCAATCACAGGGACATAACCTTCAGCGAATGACGAGCCAGGAGTTGTTTAGTAAGTTTGGATTGGAGAAAGGTGAAAGTGAAACGATAAAGCCGATCTGAAACTGACAAGTAGTTCACAGGGACTGTAGATTTCATTGGACACGCCCTTGCTCTCTACGACAATGATGGGTATGGATGCGGATATTGCAAGGTTGTGGTGTACTGAGGCCGGCTTCAGATATTTGACAAGACCCGCGGAGGAGATGGTGGAGCGATGCAAGCTTTATGGCGAGTCGCTTGCTCGGTCTGTCCTCCTCAAATGTCTCTCTATCTCATTACTGCGCTAGCTACGGCAAGTCGCCCTATTTGTATCCCCTCTACGGTCTGGGAGAGCTGCCGCAGGCGTTCGCTCGCCTGGTACTGATAACGGATGGTTGCTGGGCAAGCGCTGACTAGCCGCAGGCGGCCGTTTATGGAGGCACTTATATGCTGCACAAGCCCATCGAGAGGATCGTCTACAACTCGGCGGTGGGAAATGCGTGGAAGAAGGAGATCCTGACTGTCAAGTAACTGCCAGGGAGAAGCTTGCGGTGTGGTGTCCATGAACGAGGAAGGAAAGCCGGTGGGAGAGGTCTTGCTCCGCCGCCCCTAGCCATTGATCCTCCTGTAGGCCTTTGCCAAGTGCAAGTTCATCGTAGCCGACCCGACATACTTCCCTGATCAGTGCAGAGTGACGGAGAAGGTGCCCTTGGCTGCTGCAGACGTGAGTTGACCTGACTCCTCGGGACCTCTCAGGTTGTCAGATGCATCGCCATCTTGTCGCATCCGATCACACCAGGGTCGGAGCCTTCAGCTCAGATCATTCTCCCGCAGAATCAGGTGCTCTGCAGCGACAGCCTCGTGGTTGCTCTGACACAAGGAGGAAGATCGGCAGGACGCATGACGTGTACGTGTTCTGCGTCTCCGCGAGCCACATGGTGGCGGCTGAGGTGAGGAGGAGATGACGCGTCGCGCGCCTGACCTCGTGGCGGGCAGGGCAAGTACATCGCGTTCGTCTCGACCATCACCAACGTCGGTGACTGGTGGCAGAGCTCGAAGAGCTGACAAGATGGCAGAGGACGGACATTGAGGCCAACCTGTCCAAGGTAGCGAGCGAGGAGCTGAAGGATGGTCTCAAGATCCTCGGCAAAGTTGACTCCTTCTTCTTCGACGTCTACGATATCAAGGTACGCCTCCTTGCACGTTTTCGCTCCTCCTCAGAAGGACTGGAAGGTCCCGAACAAGCTCGGCCATGAGGACAAGTGCTACATCTCGAAATCGTGAGGACGAGGGACGTTGGGCGCTGGTGCTGACCTGGTTGCAGTTACGATGCGAGCAGCCACTTCGAGCACACGTCCGACGATGTCATGGTGAGCTTGTTGTGCCATCTTTCTTGTTCACCTCGCTCGCAGGACATCTACGAGCGGATTTACGGAAAGCCTCTCGACCTCTCCAAGACGGTCAGATCTTGTCGTTGGGGTTGCGCCGCAGTCCTGCTGACTCTGTACGGCAGATGGTGAACTTAAACCCGGACGAGTGAAGGCGAGCAGAGGAAGCAGCGTAGCAGGTTGCCGTGAGGTTCTTAATGAATTTTCTCGACCGATTTGCCGCGTTTTTCTTCTCTCGCTGACTCGGAGTCACTGACCGCCTGGGCTGTGCGGGCCTCCGAGCGGTGCCGCGGGTCCGCTGATTCAGTTCACTGCCCCCACTGCCAGGCCCGGCGGCTGGCTGCGGCGCCGGGTCGCCGCAGTACGACTCACTGCAAGCGAGACGGGCCCGGCCGGCCCGCGGGCCCGGCCCGCTGGGTGCGCAGCGGCTGGGCCTGGACCACTGGGCCTGGCGTGCGGGAGATGAGATGAGGGAGATGAGTCTTGCACGAGCGAAGTTGCGTCCCCCCATGCAGAAAGTGAGCGAACAAGATGATTGGGGGCCATGGCGGCTCAGCGAGGAGAGGAGGAGAGAGTGATAGGAAGAGAGGAGAAGAGGAAGAGAGAGAGAGAGAGAGAGAGAGAGAGAGAGAGAGAGAGAGAGAGAGAGAGAGAGAGAGAGAGAGAGAGAAAGAGAGGAAGAGAAGCTGCATATAAAGGACAAGGATTCATCTTTTCTTCGCTCTTCGGACGGGAGTTGTAGCGAGCCTTCATCTAGCACGACAAGTGATCTGCCTTCCTTTCTCGTGGATGCTGCATCGATCGCTTCTGTCAATCTTTGTGCAACAGAAGATCAAGGGATGTTTGTTGTCTCATTGCCACCTGTACCTTGTCAAGGTGTGGTGGCAATGGTAGTCATCTTGTCTATCCCGACATTGATTTGCGTATCCACGTGTTGCTGGTTGTGTCTCACGAGATTCTTGCAGGTCCAACAAGATCGCGGAGTGAATGGTGCAAGTAGCGCGAGGGGAGGAGGAAGTAGCCCGCAGCTATTCATTAAACCGAGAGTCAGCAACGTCTGTCTGCGTGCTCAACACGAGAGTCTCCACCATCACGCGAAACTCGCTCATGCTCAGCCCATCCTGTCCACCACCTGCGAAGACCCTGAAGAGATTGTCCAGCGTGAAGGCGGAGATGCTCAGCCCCATTGAGTCTGCCGCTCTGCGAAGTCCTTGTTTGGTTACCGTCGGCTGGGGAGGAGGCGCCGCGGGTTCGCACAGCTCTTGGAAGAGGATGGCGATGCTGGCGTCATGGGACGAGTTCTTGCTGTGCTGGTTGAGTAGAGAGGAGAGAGCCACGTTGACGTCGGTGAAGGTGGCGACAAGGGCTCTTCGCTCCTGCCTCACCCGCTCGTCCTCCCGCGCCTGCCTCATGTTCTCCTCCAGCACCCGCAGCTTTCTTCGCTCCTCGAGGTAGATCTCCGCAGCTCGTTCCTGCTCCTTCCGCTCCTCCTCCTTCCGACGCAGCTCTGCCTCCTGCTCCGCCTTCTCTTCGTCCCTGCATCGCACGCGCACGCGCAGTCGCTCCAGCATGTTGTCGAGCTGGGTGTTGGTCATGTCCCTGACAGCGACCTGCGAGGCCTCGTGCTTGATCTCCCGACGCTGAACCTTGAGGTCTCGCTTGACTCCTGTGCTCAGCTTCTTGAGCGCTTTCTTCACGCTTCCTCCTTGGCTGCTACACAACACCGCAACCATCGACACGAACTCCTCCTTGTCGATCGACCCGCTCCCGTCCGCGTCGAAGTGGTTCAGCACTTGCTGCACCTGCTCTTCGGGGACGTCATCTAGCCCGAGCATGCTCAAGCCTGTCCCTAGCTCTTTCACGTCCATCTCGCCCGACCCGTCGACGTCGACGACGTTGAAGATTGCTCGTGCTGCATGCGTCACCTCCCCGAGATTCTCTAGGTTCCCGTACTTGAGCATCATCGCTGCTGCCTCGGCATACCTCGCATCGTCCAGCTCCTGGAAGACGGGAGTAGAGGAGAATCTCGTCAAGAGCTTCTTGTCGCTGAAAGACAAGCGAGACCGCATATCCTCGTCCTTCTTCTTCACCTCTCCCCTCCTCACTGCCACTGACCGCAACCAACGCAAGAGCCTCCGCCCCAGGAACCCGCGCACGAGTCGTTGACAGTGAACTACAGCTGTGTGGCATTCCGGGTGATACCACTTGCTCACGTACAAGGACTGCAGCCCCCGCGCAAGATCGACTTTGTTCCACTTCTCCCACCGGATGCGCTGCAAGGCGTGCATGTCCTTGGCTGCTATCGCCTTCTTCTCAGACTCCATGCGCTGCCGGTCTTGCTCGGAGACATCCACCTTGCTCTTGGAGCTCATCTCCACCTGAATTTCGTACATGCTCACGTCACGCGAGAACCGCACGGACAGGCGGAAGGTCATGAGCTTGTAGGCGTTGAGAGAGCTCTTGAGCCCGATGTACCACCTCCCTGAGAACTGACAGCCCTCTAGGAAGATCGGGCGCTGGATGGCGTTGGCTCGTGCCGACTTGTTTCTGATCACGACTCGCTTCAGCTCTGTCGCGTTGGAGAAGAGGAGGCAGAGAGACTTGGTCCTGCCAGGGCGTCAGAACAAGTCAAAGGGGAGGAGAGAGGAGGAGAGGGGAGGAGAGGGGAGGGAGGGGAGCACCTCGAGTTGATCAGAGCCTCCAACTTCTTGTTCATCGCCGCGGCCTCACGCTGAAGTTGCAGCACTTTAGTGCTGTTAGTCTCCTGCTCTCTCTCGATCTCCTCCTCCTTGGCTCGGAGTCGCTCCTCGAGGTCGAGCACCTCGCGCTCAAAGTTGCGGTCCTGCTTCATGTCCTCCCGAATCTCTTCTCGCTGTATCACCAGGAGCCCTTGGCTGCCCTGCCCAGCACAGTCACGAGCTGCCGCCGCCCTCAGTCCCGCGCACCTCGCAGACGACTTCGAAGGCCGTCCAATCATCTCCCGCGTTGAACTCGTACATGACCCACTGCTCGTGGTCGATCTCTCCAGTCTTGGGCAGCTCCGACTTGATGCGATTTCTCCTCTTGCTCTCCAACCTCACAACATGCTCGCAATCGTCCAACGGTTGCCAATCGTGAGCCTCCACGACAAACTCTGCGAGACCATCGTTATCACACCATCATACCATCATGTCACCAGGTCATCTCATGCCATATATCGTCATGTCACTCCATCATATCTCCACACCATCATACCATCACTCGAAGACACCATCGTAGCTTCACATTAACAGATCATCGCTTCATCAGATAAGCTTACTCTTCCCCGACTCCTCCATTCTTGAGCTCAACAAGTCTGCTTGCTGCTGATCCAGGGGAATCGCTTGTCTTGCCCTGTTGCCTTCACCTCCCGCCGTGACCCCAAGGGTGGGTTTGAGCCCATCGACAGTACAGAGATTGTACTTGACAGAGAACGCTCCTCCTGCTACTAGCAGACCCGCTGCTGCCTCTTCCACTGAGCTCCCTTGGAACAGCTGCCGGATCTGAGAGGAGACGATGCCTCGTCCCTCCAGCACTGCCGCTAAGATCGCGATGAGAATTCCCTCCGGCGCTCTCCGTAGCAGCTGCTCTCCTGCAAGTCGCAGCTCAGCCACGAGCTCCTGCACGTTCTCCTCCATTGCCCTCTGGCTCTCCTGCAAGATTTGCGATCGAAACAAGCAGGCAAGAGCGCTGTCGGAGGAGAGGAGGGTCGACGTCAGCTCCTCCAGCTTCTCCTCAGGTAGAGAGTCCAGCAGCTGCTTCCCCTCCTCCAGTAGTCCCTTGCTCACCTCAGACCCTCGCCCGAAGAGCCCAGCACTGAGCGGCAGCATCAGATGTTGACTCACGAGCTCCGACGCTCACCTGAACGACTCGCCGAGGACTCGCCGTCTCATCTCCGATGCTCCTTCCTCTTCCGCAAAGAAGAGCGTGTGCGCCAGCATCGCTCCCTGCTCCTCTCCCGCCGCCTCCAGCACTTGCTCCCCTCCCCTCACCATGGCGGCATGGGCCGACATTTCCTCCCCGACAGTCCCAACAGCAAACGGTAGGACTGGAATAAAAAGAAATGCAAGCCCTCGCCATGCTGCTATGAGGGAAGGAGGGGCAGCGGGGAGCGAGGAGGATGACCAAGACAGGGGGAGGGTGGGAAGGAAAGAAGAAGGTGGAGGGTTGCAAGCAGAGTGAGAAAGAAACGTGTCTGGCAGCATCTTAGCTTCAACTCAAGATTTATCGGGCTTGACTCTTTCTTCTCGATCAATTTATTCGCTTCGTTTCTATCCCGTCCTCCTCTCCTCAACTCTCTCCCTGCCTTCCCTCTCCTCCCTGTTCTCCCCCTGCCTCCCCCCGTTAGCGTCTAGCTTTCCGTCACTTGGCGCCTTTCAACCTGTGGAAGCAACAGTCACACGGGCGAGGGGGGAAGAGCACAAGTCACTCGGTCAAGGCTTCCTTCACCCCCAGCTCAGCAGCTCTCTGCCTCGACGTCACTTCCTCTCCTCAGACCAGACGGACGCACCTCAAGCCACTTGCGACTCTCAGCGTCGAGATTCTTGCCTGACGAGGATGATGAGGAGGGTGGGGGCAAGGCGAGGCAGGGAACAAGAGAGAGCCAAGAGAGCGCGCGGGGAGGGAGGGGACAGGCAGCAGGTCTGCCTCTTCACAGCAGTGAGGAGCAGCGTCGAAGAGCGAGTTGAAAGGAGAGGGTTTGGAGTTGCGAATGGAATCGCCTTACCCTCTTTGTACATCTTGTGAAGCTCATATGCGGACTGTCCGTGCCCTGCCAGTGCTGCTTCTTGCAGGAGAGAGCTTGCCCTTGACTATGAACAATCATCGTCACAAGCATGCCAGCTCCGCATGCTCCCCATCAGTTCAAATCCTCTCAACTCACCATGTCTGCTTCGAGTCTATGTCCCTTGAGAAGGCACATGCCAAGATAATGCTGGACAAGAGAATTCTCAAACTGAGAGGCCGAAATGACTTCCTCTTCTCACTTTAGCGGCAATAAAGCCTTTTGAAGATGCGCTTTCCAGATTGAAGGACGCGTCTTTGATGTTTTGCTGTCAATTCAAACTCTTGTTACATTCGTTGGAGCAGAAAATTCAATGTACCTCTGACGCTTCCTCGATGTTCAACAAGAGATATCCCAGCAAGAACTGCAAGCGATCAGCATCAGAATATCTCATCGTTATCGTGATGATCATCGTCATCGTCGTCGTCGTCGTCATCATCATCAACATCATTATCATCATCATCATCATCGTCATCAATACATCGCTGACTGAGTGACCTGGGCTTCAGCGTTTCCGTCGAAGGCCGGTCGTCTGCCACACGGTTAGTGTCTACCTCCTCTCCTCATGCCGCTACTGCAGAATCTGTCGCGCTGCCTGGCTGTCCTGGTTGACCCCTGCCGGCAGGTCATCCTAGGAGAGCCCAGCAGCTGCTCACCATCCCCGGAGATGTAGGCGAGGGCGAGACGGAGACAGGCCTTGTGGTCCCCCTGACCTGCTGCAAGAGAGAACTGGAGACAAGCAGCTTAGCTCACGCGCCTCCCTGTCAGGCGCTTGCCTGCTCCATCGCTGCCTCCTCGTCCTTATCCACTCCAGTGCCAGCATGGTAGCAGTTGCCGAGGTTGTACTGAGCCTCTGCGAGACCCTGAGCTGCAGCTCGTTGAAACAAGCTGACCGCTCTAGGAGCATCGGCCGTCACTCCCTGCCCCTCGAGGTACATCACCCCCAGGTTGAACAAGGCCTGCTTGTGCTCATGCTCCGCCGCCTGCTCAAACCTCATCCGGGCCTTGTCATAGTCCTTCTTCGCCCCGAGCTGACCCTTCAAGTAGGCAGAGCCCAGCAGGAACATGGACTGAACGTCTCCCTCGTCTGCTTTCTTCTGCAGGGCGTCGAAGCTCAGCTGCGGACGAAGGATGCTCTGTGGTTTGGGTGACTTGGAAGAGAAGGAGCGAGCGTGCGAGATCCAGGTGTTCCTCCCCCCCTCGGATTTGCCGTATGCTGCGTCTGCCGTCTTGATCCTCCACGCCTCCTTGAGCCCACGCCCAACGAGCAACAGCAGCGGCTGCCTGCGTCCCACCAGCGCCATGGCTCTTACGGCCCCCGGAATTCACGCGGGGGAGGAGGGTCATGAAAAAAATCCATGCTGGCAGTGCGGGGCGAGGGATGTGAATCAGTCAAGTGCGGGGGCAACGAGATGTCGAGGAGGAGGAGCAGGAGGAGCAGGAGCAGGAGCAGGAGGAGCAGGAGCAGGAGCAGGAGCAGGAGCAGGAGGAAGAGCAGGAACAGGAGCAGGAGGAGCTTGAGGCACCGGGAATGCATTAGGAGCAACAAAGCATACCATGCATGTGGAGGGAACCAGAGAATGATCGAAACAGACAGAAATAGAAGAATGAGACGAGGGAGGGAGGGAGGGAGGGAGGGAGGCAAGGGAGGAATTGTGCTAGCTGTAAATTTATTGAAGTCTCGCGTCTCAACCCCCAACGAGCTTCCTCAGCTGTTCTTCGCGTAGATCGCTTCCACCTGCTCCACGTCGAGCTTGCTGCCGAGGAAGATCGGGGCTCTTTCATGCAGCTCCACAGGCTGGATGTCACGGATCTGAGAGCAAGTCAGGAGCTCTGCCGTCCAACGCCTGAGGACGCACCTGCATCTTTCCCGTGGTCGCGCGTCCTCCAGCCTTCTCGACGATGTAGCCCATTGGGCCGCATTCATAGAGCAGGCGAAGTTTCCCCTTGCCGACCTTGTCAGCGCAGAGGGCGAACGAGAGAGAGAGAGAGAGAGAGAGAGAGAGAGAGAGAGAGAGAGAGAGAGAGAGAGAGAGAGAGAGAGAGAGAGAGAGAGAGAGAGAGAGAGAGAGAGAGAGAGAGAGAGAGAGAGAGAGAGAGAGAGAGAGAGAGAGAGAGAGAGAGAGAGAGAGAGAGAGAGAGGACTGACTCACATTCTTTGCTCGGGCATCTGCAGGATACATGAAGATTCCTCCATAACACAGAGTTCTATGCACATCCCCCACCATAGTTCCTGTAAGGGTTCAGTTGCTTTGACTTGATGGATGCTGAAGATGGACCGATGTATCGAAGAGAGTAGCATTTCTTGGACTCGTCTTCGGACTTGCAGTAGGCAATCTGCGACAACGTCATCTGCTCCTCATGTCGCATCATCCACTCACAAACTCCGTCGTCGACTTGTCCCAGCTGGCACTGTTGCCCTCGTTGATGGAGTAGGTCTTTCCTCTCTGCGCAAGGCATCACGACAGCACTGAGCGTCTCGCATGCTCCACCGTTGGGAGCTTGATTTCAGGATGGGTCATGATGAACTCGCCGATGCCCTGCGCCCACTCTCAACCTCGCGCCTTCCTCATCGGCTCCTCCTGACCGTATCGAGCGTGAAGCCGTTCACGCCCTGCTCTGTCGCCAGCACCAGGATGGTACTCGCTCCGTACCTAACAGCGGCGTCAGAAGCACGCTCCTCGCCTCTTGGCTCTGTACATGGTGTATCCTGCTGCGATCAAGTTCTTAGGGGGTTGAAGGGCGTCTTGAATGTTGCCAGGCTGACGCCCGTCTGGTCCGCTGTCGCTTATCCGCCGATAGATCCCGAATATGGTCCCAACATTCACACCCGCGTCGATGTTGGAGGAGCCATCCAACGGATCGAATGTCACGACAAACTCTCCAGTAAGGTAGTCAGGTGGGCGGATGATATCTTCAGTCTCTTCGGAAGTCGCCACGCAGAGTTGACCAGAGTTGCACAAGAAGTGGATGAGAGTATCGTTACTGAGAACGTCAAGGCGCTTCACTACCTCCCCCTGTATATTCACATGCTCCAACGCCCCATGGAGCTCGTCGACTCCGGCCCTGAGGTAAGGTTCAAGGATGTTCACAACCGCAAGAGGGATCACCTATGGACTGCCCTGCTGATGATCTTGCAGGCAGACTGGATGGAGGCGAGGAGCGCGCAGAAGTCTCCCTTCTCGCCCGCTGCTCGCGCTCGCCTCCTCTCCTCGAACAGGATGAACGAGGAGAGCGTGAGGGGGGGCCGAACCTCCATGGCCAACTGGACACGGGAACTGTTGCCAATCAGGGGTAGGGTACTTTTGGTTTCTAGTCAGGGTGGGGTAATTCACCCCCTCGTGAAACCGGGGGTAGTATTACTTAGAGGTGACTCGAGACAGCTGTAGTAGGATAGGTAGGGGTAGTGCTCTCACAAACTGTGTAGTACAAGGGGTAGGGTCATGTATGGGTGGGTGGTTATGGCTTGATCGGGCCCGGGCCCTCCCGCTGGGTTCATCCGAGGTTCCAGCACTTGAGTTAAAATGCAAAGGCTCATAACCTTTTATACATTTACGATTTCGTGTCTGTCTGAAGCAATTTTCTGGGTATATCTTCAAAATATAGAGGAAATTTTGAAAACAAAGGCTCAATGCAAGGGAGATGAAGATGGGTAGGGTACTCAACCTCTCGACATTGCAAGCTATACCAAGGTGGGGTACTGAAGTATTGATATTGGGGGTAGTCGAAAATAAGTTGCAAAGGTACCGGTGGTTGTAATCAGCTGAACCAGAGGGTGTGCAAGAGCAGGAGGGGGTAGGGGTGGGTAATATTTGAGTAAAATAGGTGTCTCTTCGCGTGGCTCGGTCTGGCGCTTCCGATGGTGAGAGACTAAGAGGCAGGAAGGGGAGAGATGGGGAAGAGAAGAAGGGGAAGGGGAAGACAAGTACGAGAGGTGGAAGATGAACAGTTCGAGAGAAGGTCCCACGCGCGATGATGATAGAATGCAGCTCAATATCATGTTGTGGACTTGAAATCTGTTGAAGACTTTGGGGGCAGAGGGACACATAAATGGTTAGGATTAGGAGCAAGAGATGAGTTTGAGTCATGCTGAGTCAAGGATGATGTTTCCTGAGAAGACATTGTTTCCATCTATCGTGTATTTGATTGAAACATTGGTTGGTCGAGAGGGCTGAGATGGGGCAGAGGAGGTTGGTAGAAGCTCGTGGGAGGAAGGAATTTGTTTGATGACTTGTGCTGCTTTTCTGCGTTTGTCGTGCTTCCTATGCTAAAATTCAGCTGGTGTTTCTTTGTCTGTTACATACACGACATCCCCAGCTAAGCATCTATGCATCACAACTGGGGTTGTTTGAACTTTCATAGTTTTTCTCGATTTGACCTCCTTCCTGCGAGCTGTATCGTGTGAGTGATGTTGACCCAAGAGAAGCTGCTTCTGTTTCAATGTTCTAGTTTGTACATGTTTGACTGATGGTAATGTCAGGCCGTGATGAATGACTACGGCTCCGTTCCATCGGTCACATCTTCCATGCCGAGGAGAAAGACTGCTATGATGTACGCAGGGATTGCCGTTCTGGCTTGCATGGCCGTGATCGGTATGGCATTTGTTTCCTACGATCAGGTGACTTCTACCTCCTCATGGTCGTCTGGTGCTCAACTTGTCGATCAGGATGAGGGTTTCTGGGATGATGGCTCCGTCACTCTCGCTCAACTCAACAAGCAAGAGATGAATGAGATCCTGGCAAAGGCCAAGTCGATGTCGACCGATCAGCTCCGTGCTGAGGTTGCTCAGCTCGAGGCGGACAAGCGCACTCGCAGGACTTCCTTGGCTTCCAAGGTTCGCAAGCAGTCACTCGTTGTAAGGGGCGGACAGGAAGACGTCGCTGGAAACCCTGAGGGCGGGATCATCGAGAACGTTCCTCCCACGGTGGTTGCGCCTGTTCCTGGCCCTCCTGACTTCAACGGAGCCTCTGCCATCATTGCTCGCCTGCCCAACATCGGATTTGCTCCTTCTATGCTCACTGAGAAGGGCTTCGAAACTCGTGGCAGCTTCACTGTGCGCAAGTCTAGGGCTGGCGAGTCGTTCTACCTTCGCGTGTACGGCAAGCTCAACCACAACATGCGATGCACTCTCCGTGGCTACAGAAACTTGATGGGAGACTTCACGGGCAACACCATCTACACCGGTTTCAAGAAGATCTACACCGGCAAGTCACAGGTTCAGACCGGTCACATCCCGCGTGGCATTGTTGGCGAGTTCGACATCATGACTTGTAGGGACCTCAACAACGGAGAAGTTCAGTATTTCCGCATCAGATACGATTAAGTCCCGAGTTTGAGGCAGTAGTTTTCAATTGTCTAGTGCTTACCTGTCGCAATGAAGATTGTGAAACTGATGGGCTGACTGAGAACTGAGAGCGTTGCATCGAGTGGTTTTGATTTATATGCAATACACGAGCTCGATCAGCTCTTGTTGGCCTCTAGGCCATAAAATTCTCGTTTCTTCTGCCGGTACTCGGAGCATGCGCGAATTACCCGCAAAAGAGGATTCGACCGTCGGACCTGTCAAGACCCTGAATTGAAGGAGGAGGGAAAGGAGAGGCGAGACGGATGCAAGAAAGAAGTAGTTACCTCGCGGATGCCCTTCTCTGACTTGTGGACTGAAGCCTTCACATTGAGGATCTTGACCTGCCCGCCCGTTATCTCTCCCCGCACCTCTTTCGTTCAACCGAATTACCTGTGAGTTCTCCCCGAGACGCTTGTGCGTGGCCATGGCGAAAGCGAGAGCCCGTGCATCATCGAGAGGAACGCGCTCTTGCACGAAGGGGCAATCCTTCTCAAGTTTTTTGAACTCATCCACTCCTGCTTTGCCCTGCTCGGATGTTCAGGTAAGAAAGAAGACAGCGGAGGAGAAGAAACTAAAAGACCAGAGGGTTCCCGTAGAGATAGAGCTTTGAGAGCCTCGACGAGTCGTTGAAGAGAAGCGCCCCCGACAGATCTGTTGCTCCCTCCTCTGTGATATCGTTGGAATTGAGATATACCTGCCATACTCCATTCCTCACTGAGGCAAAACAAGTAATCAAAGTCACCTCCGTCAAGCTGCAGTTGATTCGCAGCACGTGGGCCATGGCAGTTGCACCACTATCACCCATTGCCGTGCGAGCTAACCCAAGCGCAAGCAGCGAAGTGTTATGGATGAGCGCATTGCAGACGTCCTGAGACATGCACATGACTTGACGCTAGTGGGAAACATGCAACGACTCACCTCGACGCCCTTGGAGCCGAGCAGATTGTTCCCGAGGTCAAGCATGGTGAGAGCCTCGTGAGAGGCCAACGCGTTTGCGAGGAGTTTAGCTGACGAGACGGAGAGATTGGCTCCATGCAGAGAGAGTGACCTGAGAAGCAGATTCAGACCTCAAGGCTCCAAATACGTCGAACGAAAATGGAAGAGGAATAATGAAATCAAAAGATTAAGACTTCAAGATTGTATCCCACAAGCCTACCTGAGACAAGTAGATTGTTTGACAGCAGGCGCTAACTGTGTTACGTCCTGAGTTTGCAAGTAAGAACACTCAAAACGATTTCAACGACCCCTCGAGGAGATCCAAATGACGGAGGGAAACATTTCTGACCGGGTCGTTGAGTTTAATGTCGCACAGAAGGATCATCTTGCAACGTCCATCTCTGAGTCGCTAGAGCAGAGTCAACTTCAACATGTCTGCAGGACTCTCACCTGCACAGCTGCCTCTGTCGCCTTGGAACTTCCACTCTTCTTCTCCTCCTCCCGTGGTTTCGCTTCATCTGCGTCATACAAAACCTTTCAAAATTCACAACAACCCCCAACCCTCTTCAATCCATAAGCCACATCTCCTTCCATTCCACGTCTCGTCGGTTTCCTCATAAGCTCCTCAAGTTCTTCATCTCTTCTCCCTCTAGCTTCTCCTGTTTCTCTCTCCTCACCCCCGCTACCCGCTTCCCGCTCCCCGCTCCTCTACACCCCTTCTTGCTCCCTTCTGCTGCAATCTGCTCTCGTCTCATCTTCCCGTATCTGCTCCTCTCCTCTCCTCTCCTCTCCTCTCCTCTCCTCTCCTCTCCTCTCCTCTCCTTACTTTTTCGCTCGCCCGCCGCTTTCTCCATGCCCCCGACTATCCGTTACATCAAAGTTGCTTGCCGTTACTTCCTCGTCTGGCGGGAGTCGCCCGGTCGGGCCGGGGTCTGATCCGGGCCCGGGGCCCGGCCTGAGTTGATGACGCCGGGTCGGACAGTTACAACTTGAGTGTGCGTCGGAATTGACGTAACGGTTAGCTGTACCCTACCGTACGGTAACGTGACCACCCGGCCCAGTGAGCCCAACCCGTTGGGGTACCGGTGGTGCCCGTGCTAGTACGGTAGTACGGTACCGGTGCTCAGCCACTGGGCCGGGCCGGTATCATCCACACGGAATGCGTCAGTAGTAGTGACTGGTACCCCACCCCTCCGATCTGATACCATGATTCATTGCTGACAGTACGGTACCCCTGGTCGATTCAATCGTGACACTATCGAGGTGGGGGTGAGTCTCGGAGGCTGGTGGGTACCCTTTCTGGGTCTTCCGACTACAATTGACCCCTACCCCTACCCTAACATCAGGTCCTGTCCAGATCTTACTAATACCCTAGTTTTTGATGGGGAGACAAGGGGTGGTCTTATACCCCTGACCTACTTCATCTGTCAATCACAAACTTGAAAGACCTTCCACCGTACCCCCCACCCCACCGGCACCCCGGGGCCCAACCCCCCCCCCCCCCCCCCTGCTTCTGAAATCAGTCATCCTCCTCCATTGCGAATCAACTCAACTTCTGTTGCCTCCGAGTATACAGCAGGGCCGGTCGCTATGGCAGGGAGCATGCCGGAGACTCCCCGGACGACAAAGGAGGAGCGAGAGGAGATGCGGGAAAGGAAGAACTCTGAGACAACCATTGGAGCTCATGATGTATGTCTACTACCTCACCCTTGTCGTGGCTTCAAAGCAGTGTGTTCGTTCTTACAGTGACAGAGCTGTACTTTGCTTTCGGACAGATCAGTAACCGTGGCATTTTCAATAGGTGACGATGGATGTAATTGAAGAAGGGGGCAGTAGAACAATTCTTGCTGCAGATGTTGTCAGTCTTAGCACAGAAAGAAATCAAACAATGGTGAGTGGTCTACATCAATTGTCTCCATTGGTTGATTTTTTAATGCGTCTACAGCCGCTGCAGCTTCATCAATATGCACAAGCTCAGCAACGCAAGCGAATAATACAGAGTTTTTCGACACAGAATGCAACATGGCAAGTCAACGACTTGTCAGGATCAAGTTCTCCTCTATCGTCCTTGCTGCTGGCTTCACACAAATCGGAAGATGCGCCTTCACCATCACACAAAACTGAAGTCCCATGCGTTGCATGTCGCAACAGGTTGCATTTGTGTTTGTCTGCGCTGCGCTGCTTGCCGTGTCATGCGATGAGTTTGCTTGTCTGAGGGACTGAAGCCGTTGCAGAGAGTATGACTGCATGGACCTCCTCCCTCCAAACGTAAATCGAAAGAAATCGATGGATAAGGAACTTGATCGATATCCCTCCGCAGCAAAGTTAAGAAGCGATTTTGGATCATATACATCATCTTGCAAGCGCGGTGCGATGCAAGGCGAAGCAGCAGTGACCAGCGCACATGCTTTCATCTAGCTACTCCTGCTTTCATCTAGACCTTCTTCGCTCCTGTTGCCTCCAGCGGGTGTGTAAGATACAAGGAGTCATCGCGAAGCAGATGCTCAGATACAGAGACAGAGCGCGACGTTTCTCAGCCTGTGAAAGATAAGGAGGATTCAGGAATGTTGTATGAACCTCAAAGCAGCCTGAAGGTCATCAATGATTGAGATTCGCAGCTGCGAGCGATCGCCGACGCCAAAGACTCGGAAGATGCTATAGTGAATCTGTGCGTCTCTCATATGAAAATCAAGGGAGAACAGCAGAGTCACCCCCGGCTTCATCGCAAACTCTAGCTCAGCTTGGGATATCTCAAATACATTGCTGCACAAGCATTGAGCGGCAGAGAAAGCTTCACAGAACTGCTCACCGATCGCTGGTGAAAGTAGACTTGACTTCAACATACCTTGTTGATGAGAGTCGAGGACGAGGGACAGATCGCTGATATATACCGCTAATTAGACGCCATGTCGGAAAGATAAAAAATTACGTGATCAGTATCCTCGGGCTCGCTGACGCTCACATCATAGAAACATTTGCTCTCCTCTTGCTGTCATCGCACCGCTGAGCCTCTCGCCCGCCAGGTGAAAGCTTTACCTCATTCATCCAACAGACGATGTGGTTGGGGTATGCCAGTGTAAGAAGACGGTACACCAACGCTTCTCCCCACCGCCCAACCTGTCAGCAAGCATCAACTCATCACTCAGGCCGTCACGCCTCGCTGACGTCGAGGCTCTCCCGTGGCTCACAAGTCGTCCAGGGGATGCAGACGGACGTGACTCGATCCGCCATCAGCTGCGGCGCGCGGAAGCTGTTGGGCTGAGGCAATGCAATGAGTTGTACTTCTCCATTCCTTCCTCACCTTGCGCGCTTCCACTGCCCGATCAAGAGGCAGAACACGGTTGTGCATGTCAAGATTGACATGGACAGATGGACCGTCCCCATTCTCCCTTGTTTCCTTAGCTGCAAGTATCGCGAGATCAGAATGCAATGTTTGGCTCTCTTGTGTTTGTTCCGGTCTCGATTGCTGCGAATCGTTGCTGGCATTGCCCTTGTCGTCTTTCTCTACCATATTGGAATCAGCGACCCTCGCTTGGACTTGGTTGGACTGACAACTCCAATAAGTATCAGCGTTTGATTCAATGGGGTATGGACAACATGCGTATCGTCAGATGGACGTTTTGAGTCCATGTCCTCATTCGGCGAGGGAATGTCGTTCATCTCCTCCGTGTTCGGCTCTGCAAAGAAGCGACACCATCCATTAGATGAAGCGTCAAGAAAACAGATTAAGACCATGAGCATCTTTGTCTTCTGCAGTCCACCTTTTCTTCCTGAACAAAATTTCATCCAGCTCTCCATTATTTGGCTTGCTCACCGATACTTGCTCGATCCCAAGTGTAGCATGACGTACTCAGTAATGAGCGAGCAGATCAAATCTTTCTGGACAAGACAATCATTATCAGCTGCTCACTTGTCAACTCCATCGGGCTCACGTCTAAGCACAAGGTCTCCTCCTCTAGCATCTTCCCTGCCTTTCTCTTCTGAGAGCTCGCCAGCATCTCTTTCACCACTTGTCTGTGGCCTCGTAAGGACTGAGAAGCATGAGCTTGAGACTCACAGCATCTTGCTTTCACTGGGAGGATGCATGCAGACCGCTACAAAGCATTCAGAGACTTGAGCCCGCTACAAGTGACGCATTGCCTGTGCTCCTCTTGAAGGCCTCCTTCTCGCATATCTGTGTGGCGTCAGCGGAACTGATTGAAGGAGGCCGTGCTCACCCGTATGAACTCTGCTGTTCTTGGATCTGCGGGAGGGTTCAGCTTGGGGATGGAGCTGCAGGAACTTGAAGCCGCAAGAGGTGAGGCCGATTCTTTCTTCCTTCTTTTCCGTCCCTGATCTGATTGGTGATGCTCAATCATTTCTCTTTCCCTCACCCTGCGTCAAATCAGGCAGGAAGCACTTGCTAGAGCATCAGACCGAAACAACGCTTCGTACTTGGCGTTGGCATGCAACAAGAGAAAGAGATCTCGCTTGAAGAGAGGCTCTGGCGCCTGCCTTCGCATGCCAATCTCGCTCACGCTGTTTAATTTCTTCACTTTACAAACGTATTCACAAAACCCCTGGAAGGATGCATTATCCTCTGCAGCATAAAGTGTTTGGAATGGCTGATGTCTGTGCGCATGCTTGTAGTATTCGATCGCAAGCTGCATCAGATCTCCCGACGAGAACCTCGGGATTTGCACCATACCTGGCGGGGGCCCAAAGTTGTAGATTATCAAGGGGCGAAGGACGAGAGGACAAAGATGCCAGTCGTCAAAGTGAGGCGCAGAAGCATGAGTGGGACCAGCTGAGCTGTTCTGTTGATGGTCGCCTGCTCTCTCTGTATCGTCATCATCGAGCAAGATCTCCTCAGGGTTGTCGACGCGGGGGGCAGGAGGTCTGATGGAGTGGCTGAGCAGGAAGGTGACGAGCTCCTCTTCGAGGTCATGCAACGTCGCGAGACTCCGGCAGGAGAGGAAGGAAGCGATGAACGCGTCCACCAGCCCCTCCGTCTCCATCGCCCGCAGCTGCGCCCCTCCGTTCTGCATTGCCACAGGGACTACCCTTACCCCCCATCTTCCCTCCATTCGCACCCCTCCTCATGTTTTTAAAAGACCACAAATTGAACTTTTTGATTCTGAGGCGGGCTAGAGTTCTTGCCGACATTCAACCTTTGCCCCCGCCCTCCCTCCCCCCCCCCCCACCACTCTGCCCACCACTACCACACTCCTGCTCCTGCTCCTGCTCCTGCTCCTGCTCCTCCTGCTCCTGCTCCTGCTCCTGCTCCTGCTCCTGCTCCTGCTCCTCCTGCTCCTGCTCCTGCTCCTGCTCCTGCTCCTGCTCCTGCTCCTTTGACTCTGACTCTGCCTCCTGTGCATCCTGTCTCTCGGGCCCACTCCTCTGTTCGTTCCTTGTCCTAGAACTCTGCTCATCCTATCCCTTCCTCTCATACCTGCGACCTTCAGGGTCACCTGCACATTCTCCTATTCTGGTTTGTGATCACCGCCATGCGAGCTGCTTACAGTGTGGCGTTCGTTGTGAGCGGCTCCATGCTGTTCCTGGTTGTTGTTCTCCTCATCTTTGGAGTCCGGCAGCCCGGCCATCATGCTCCCCTACAGACAGCTCGATCATCTGTGGAAGAGCTGCGTGAGGACGTCAGCGAGGTGGAGGCTTTTGCCGAGGCGTCAAGGCGATCAGGGGTGGTCACGCTGCTGCTGTCGTATCGAGAGAAGCTCCTACGACAGATTGACAAGCAAGAGGAATGGAGCCGCAAGGGAGATCGCATGCTCTCTGAAGCCTACAAAGACATGACACAGCACCGCTTCGATCAGGTCCTTCGCTCCCATCCATTCCTTGCCTCGCGCTGACCCTCCCGTAGGCGCGAGTCTCTCTCGCAGGCGCGAGGTCAGCGTTCTCACGTGCAGCTGTGAGGTCTGCAGTGTCTCTTGCATGCCCTGACGGAGAGACGCAGGCGACGAAGAAGCTTGTACAAGTGGATGCCGGAGAAGCGACGTTAAGCAGGGAGGAAAGGAACAGCGGCAACTTCTCTTCGATCAAGGTTTGCTTGCTTCCTCCGAGATCTGCTCGCTGAGGGTTGTCATTGTCTGCAGACTAGAAGCGCTGCATCGACCATCGGGGAGGAGGCGGATAGACAGCACTCGCACGACCTGACGACGCGCCAGAGCAAGAAGGAGCTTTCAAACAGCACGACTCAAAGCAGGTCGAGCTCATGAACCGTGAGGATGAGAGGTGAAGGTGGTAGCACGTCTTCTCCTCCTAGAGGAGAAACGAGGAGGAAGCTCCTACCGAGCCTCCTAGATCTAGAGAATATAATCGGAAGTTGGAGACCGACAGCTCGAGCCTATGGAGTAGCAGCACGGCAAGCACGCCAGGCCCTCATTTCTTTATCTTGTAGTTTAAACACAAACGATTCGAGAGGACGAGGAGAGGTCGAGCCAGAGAGTTATGAGATTCTTGATTCCTCGTGGATTTGCACGCCATTGGATATCGTGAGATCGAGTTCTAGGACGTGAAGTGAAAAGAAATGGATTACGACATTCACATGTCGCGTTTGACCTTCAAGGCCTGCAGACAGTTCGCCTCCGTTTTGAGCAGTTTGAGAGGTTTCAAGTCTCCATGGTTGGTAGTGCAAACGAGTCTAAACAACGGAGGATGGGGGGGGGCGATGCAAGGAAGTAGCGAATGGAAGGAAGGAGGGCAGAAGCTTCTCCGTGTCATCTCCACCTCTTCGCTGGGGACAGTCGACCTTCGCGGCTCTGACGTGTCGCAGACCGAGACGGCGTGAGCTGTGGAGGAGCAACCTTGACGCTGTGAAGGGCGACAGAGCTGGCGGGTGACTGACTGGGAGACAATCGAGACACGGAGCGCCGAGGTGTCTTCTGCAGGGAAGTAAGAGAGGAGCAAGATCGAGGAGCAAGCTTTCCTGCAGCAGGCTGTCGCGCTCTGCTCGTACTTTCTGCCGCAGAAGTGACCACGCGAAGAAAAGAGGAGCGCTAAGCTTACATTGAGCTGACTGCTTGCCTCCTCTAGCTCCCCCTGTAGGAATGCTATCCGATTCGACATCACCTCATGCGCCTCCGCGTTGATCCGCTCGACCTGCTCATTGATCACAGCCTGAGCGCTCAAAGACAACAGATGTACCTCCTCCAGGCGATCGGACGCCACCTGTACAGCCTGATGCAAGCTCAAACAGACCAGCGGGGAGGAGGAGGAGACGTTGCACCTGACGAGAAAGTTCCTGATACCTCGAGGCTCGCTCGTCTTCTAATTCGCGCACGCGTTCCTCTGCAGCTTGAAGCGAACTGACAGGTCTGTAGCATGAGCGACTGCAAAAGAGAGAGAATGCTACATCTTCAAGAGCTCGATCTCTCGCCTCATCTTCCGCTCCTCGTTAGTCATGTACAAGGACATTTCAGCGCTGTCTTGGCTTCTCCTCTCCTTGAGCACTTCCCATGAGGAGATTCGAGGGTGCTTCGCTGGAGAGCTTCCTATCCTCGTTACCACCTGCATTGAGCCCTCACCTTCCTCTTCTCGACAGCTCGCATACCTCTGTGCTGCTCATCAGCTTGTTGGCTGGGGGGCTGAACCTCACAACTTGTGACTGACCCAAGACTGAATGCACAAGCCCAGGGCGAGATGCAGTAGAGCACTGCAGGAAGACGACGATGTGAGCGATTCGCCAGCAGCTACGAGGAAAGGAGAGCAAGGGACAGCAGAGGAAAGGAGAGCAAAGGAAAGGAGATCAAAGGAAAGCAAAGGACAGCAAAGGAAAGCTCTTCTTTAGGGATTATCTCACTTCTCCGACGATGTCGCAGCTGCAACAGCCCGAGCAACATTGACAGCAGCAGAACTGACCGTGGCTGTTACATCCTCTAACAACGGCTCCAACCTTTTCCCCCGCTTGCTCGCTGTAGTTCAGACATCGACGAACTGCTTCTGCTGGGTTCGCCTGTCCTGCTGCCTCTATCATTCCACCTCCTCGTGTATCGATGTTGCACCTTTGTCCTCCTTGTGCGACATTCTCGAATCCAGCAACGCAAAGATCTCTGCTGAAGTCACAAGAATGGCGTCATCCGGAATACTCGATGCCCCATCTGAGAGCTTGTTAGCAGCTAGGAAGGAGGAGAATGTCGAGATGGAGAAGGAGAATGCGAGGTGTCCCGAGGATAAGGAAGCACGATGAGCACGCCATAATAGAACTGTGTCACTGCACTGCAGGAGCCTGCCATCGGCAGGAATCCGCAAGCCGCCAGGGCAACTGAGCCGGACAGGCGGCAGGCTGGAAGATGAAAGGAGCAGGAGCAGGAGCAGGAGCAGGAGCAGGAGCAGGAGCAGGAGCAGGAGCAGGAGCAGGAGCAGGAAGAGCAGGAGCCTGGGAGGAGGAGGAGCAGGAGAAGGAGGAGAAGGAGAAGGAGAAGGAGGAGAAGGAGAAGGAGGAGAAGGAGAAGGAGCAGGAGAAGGAGAAGGAGAAGGAGCGCAGAGAGCTCACCGATAGGTATCAGCATCGCCACAGGCCCCGCCGACGCCATCGGCGAAATCCTTTTTTGACAAGCCTGAAGTGGGGAGGGGTGGGTAGGGGTGATCTGATCTCAGATCTGATGTCCTGAATGGGGGTACAGGTGGGGATGAGGGGTAGGCGTGGGTGTTTGAATGGCAATGGGAGAGCAGGCGGGAGGGACGGAGGAAGGAGGGGAGGAGGACGGGAGGGTTGTGTGCCTGAGTGGCTTCTCGAAGAGGAAGAAGGAAGAGCTCTCCGAGAGATCGAAGGCTCTTGGCGCCAGGGTCATCGGAGATTTCACCAGCGGTGTCTCGATACTCGTCGCTGATTCCCTAAGGTCACGCAAGGCACGAGCTGCTCTAGGTCGGCGAGTACGGGGAGAGCAGATGGTGCTTGTGGTGGGAGAGAGATGGTTGGATCAGTCCTGGAAGAGCAAGCGCTTTCTTGATCCTTGGGATTTCCGCCTCACAATCCTTGATGGAGTTTCTGTTTACGTTGTTCGACCTCAATTTCTTGTCATTGCGAAGCTTCTAGGTGCCCGACCTGTGGATCAGATCGACAAGACATGCAACCTCGTCGTTGCTCCTGAGAGACAAGAGCGTCTGGTGATGATGACAACCTCGGAGGAGGGGTTCTGACCAATGGATGTAGGTGGCTAAGACGAGGGAACTCGGGATACCCCTTGTGAATGAGGACTGGTTAGGAAAGTGCGTAGAGGAGGGATGTGCACAAGATTATCACGATTTCTTGATCCTCCACAAAGAAAGTTCCTCAGATAACAACAAAGAGAACCACCAGCTCTCTTCCGATGAAAAGTTTGGGCATGGTAGAAGCACTGGCAGCGAACAAGAAGGAGCAAGGCAGGCAGGCAGTGGCTGCCTCTTCAAAGGATACACGTTCAGCATGAGCGCCTGCGAGCAGATGGATGAGCTCACAGCTCTCATATGCTCAGAGGGAGGGAGGGTAGTGAAGGATCAGACGTCTGATTTCCAGGCATTCGATGAGGGTCGTTGGTCGCGACTCATTCAGCCCGCAGGTTGTTGCGCTCTCGGAGGCAAGGAAGGGATACGTGACTTGCAAGAAGAGAAGAGGCTTCGCCTCGGGATCTGCAGTCATCTCAGAGCTCTGGCTTCGCAAGAGCGTCTCCCACAACAAGATGTTTCCTTTGACGGAGTTAAACTCGTTGGAGCGCGATGCGCCAGTACCCGAAGAGCTTCAGGTGTTGCTGCGTCTTTCCAGCCTCTCTCACCAGCATTTCAGTTGTTGTCGGGTAGAAGATTGTGTCTCTCGGGCTTCCATGGGTCTCAGAAAGTGTACGTTGCTTGGCTCGTGCAGAAGCTTCTGAGAGCAAGCTTGGACTTGCAGCTCAGTAAGAAATCCACCCACTTTCTGGTGAGGATTTTTGGTCTCTTTGTGCGAAAGTGAGGAGGGAATGACAGATTGTGCCGTCTGAAAACTTCGAGAGCGAGAAGGTGAAGCTCGATCTCTCCCAATGTGGTCCTGATACTCAACAGACGCTGAATGCACGAAGATGGAGAATTCCGATCATGCCCTTGAGCCAACTGGAGGGAATGGTCTATCCACGGCCAACTGCTAGCGACATTCCTCACGTTCTAAATTCACACTTGAGCTCTGAGAAAGATGCTCACGGCACTGAGCGGAAGCGCATCAGTGAGGAACGTGACAGCCATGGCACAAACCACCTTGGACCTGTGATGGGGGCAAGGACAGACGAGCACGAGCAGAAGCTGCCGCTACAGGAGGTCCAAGGTCATGGCGAGGAGCAAGCTACGACAAACAGCTCCAGCAGAAACACAACGGGAGGTTGCAGACAAGATGTCTTCGATGCCATTGAGCAAGCGATCCACGAAAACTGCAGAGACAACAAGCGTCGATGCCTCCCTGCTTTCTCCGCTGCCAATCGCTGGACGGCGATCAGAAACAGCAAGGCGGCGATGCGGGAAGTCGCTACAGGTGCTTGGGATGCCTTGTCGATTGCCACTACTGACGATGGGATGGAAGGCCAAGCATGTTCGCCTCACCCATCGCTGAGCTCTGGAGGTCAAGCAGGTGGTGAGTACGAGATGTCCGACACAGAAGAGAGCTGCACGGATCTTGTCATGTTCGATGCTTCAGCCTCAGAGTCGAAGCATGAAGCTCTTCTTCGCAAGATCAAGTCTAAGCTTCCACAGTGAAACACTTTCTATACTATCAACCCCTTCACCTCTCTGCGCCTGACTCTTGTCCCTTTTTGCTGGACCGTAACACAAGTTCCGGCGGTGGTTGAGGGAGCGGCTTCTTGTTTCGGTTTCTTGGAACACGGCAGTCATACCAGTGAAAGCCAGTCACGTTAATGTACAAGCCCTCGGAGAACTTGACGAATCGCACATCTGTGCCAAAGCCATACTGCAACAGCCTTTCCCTCCGTTCCCCTGCCAGCGATTCGTTCCCTGCTGCCTCGATGACCTCGCGTGACTCGCCGGACTCAGCGAACAAGCCTGGAGGTACGGGAGGCAGAGTCTGAGCCAAGAGGTTGCTTTGAGTCTCTCTTCTCCTCTGCATCTCTTGCAGAAATGCAGGCGACCTGCAGGATCTCACTGCGTCACTGCCCCCCTCCTCAAGCGGCGAGAAGCTCACTCCAGCAGGTAGTCGAAGATGATCCTGTCTTCCTTCCACCCTCGCGCTTGCTTGAGAGCATGGCTCCATGCAGCTGCTCGCCAAACTTTCATTCGAGTCTCCGAGGGCGCTGCTAGATATCTTCCTGGAGAGTAATCCTGCCCTGAAGAGCGCATGTAAGCGGAAGGCACATGTCATCGCATCAGACCCCATTGCTCGCAGGCCAGACCAAGGAGACAAGACTCGACCGTTTTCTCGGCATGCAGCAGAGCATCGTCGAGAACAAATGTCCTGAATCGTCTTCAGCCCTGCCCTGCTGCAGCTCAGCTAACCTGTTGAAGGCTCCGTGCCCGAAAGGATGGAGAAACACGTCGCCAGGGTTGCGATCTAGCGCCTCTGGCGTGCCCAGCATCATCATGTCTCCCTTCCACACATTCATACGCATCGGCTCTGCTCCTCCTCCATCGTCCCCCCCTACACATGCCAGCACGAGCGCCAGCAGCCATCCCACCACAGCTATGCGCCCCATCACAGCATGGCAGCCAGATGGCAGCGATCAGACAACCGGGTTGAGAGGGGATGAGGTCAGGGATGAGGTTTTTTTGGGGTATGAGGGGGGATGTGGAGCCATTCCACGTCTTCTGCGGTGTTCATGGCGGGAAGGAGGTGGCGAGGAGAAGGAGAGGGAGAGGGATGAAGGAGAGGGATGTGAGAGGAGCAAGAAGAGGAAGAGAGGAGAGGAGAGCAAGAAGAGGAGATCACATCATCCTGTCGGCACTGATCACCAGCAAGGACTGAACTCAAGGAAATATTTTTACTGGGGGCTGGGAACAAGACCAGTGAGTGGTTTGGGTAGCGGAGAGAGTGATCGGAAGTATACGGCAGACGATGTCGAGCTTATGTGCTCATATTCTCCTCTCACGTGACGTTCTTGTCGGGTAAACGATCATATTCGACAGAACGTGTGTAGGGGTCGTGGACCAGAGGCAATTGGAAAGAGCTTCACGACATGGCAGAAGATTATAATCAAAGGAGCACAGAAGAGCTTGTCAAGCTGCTCGAAGATAGAGACAACACGATAAATTCTATCAAGCAGCAAGCCAAGTCGTTTCTTGAGAGGCTGAAGGCTCAGCATCAAGAAGAGATCGATCGGTTGAAAGAAGAGCTGAGCGGTGGGCAGGATGATGAAATCAAGAGGTTGCAGGAAATAGAAGTGAATCTGCGGGCAGACGTTGAATCGAAAGAGATCCAACTCGCTAAAGTGCAAGAAGATGCCAAGAAGTATGTCGCGGTGCTGCGCAAGAAGGAGCAAGATGCTACTGATGCTCTCCGGATCGCCCAGGACGAGTTGGAATCGCTTCGCAATGAGATGGAGGGATTGAAACGGCATGCAAGCTTAAACTTAGAAACAGATGCCTTGAGGGAGGAGGTTGCAAGCCTCAAGGCCTCGCTTGAGTCTTGCGAGGAAGAAAGCTCCAAAGTGAAGAAGCAGGCCAAGCGGGTTGTAGAGCAGATGACAGAAAGGAATAAGGAGTTGCAGATGACGCTGGCGAGTCAGGAGGACCTTGTACAAGAACTGAAGCTAAAGATACAAAACCTTGAAGAGGAGATGGCAGCAGCTGCATGTCAAACAAGCTCAGAACCAACATCCTGCACCCACTGTGAGACCCTCGCTGCTACCAGTGAGCAACTTCGTTTGGAGATTCAAGAAATCATTCTTGCACATGGAAATCAACAAGAAAAATTGAAAAATGAGCTTCAAGATTCACAAACGTCACTGGTTCAAATTCAGAAAGAAAGAGATGACATGGAGCAGGAGCTGAGAAGCCTACAAGAGCAGAGCTCGGGCCAGCAGATGGAGCATGCTGCTGTGACGGAGACCATGCGGGCGAGGATCGAGGAGCTTGAGAGGCAGGTCGAGACGCTGCAGGCAAGCACGGAGGAGCAGGCATCAGCCGTAGAGAAACTAGAAGCAGAGAAGCGGGTAGCGGAAGAACAGCTGGCCTCAAGCATGCAGGAGGCGATGAGAGCCAAGGAGCAGCTGGAGTCGATCAAGGCGAAGGCGAAGGAGACGATCGAGACGGCCAAGGAAAGGGAGGCGAAGACCAAGGCGAGCATGGAGGACAAGGAGCTGAAGCTGAAGACGGAGATCGAGCAGCTGACGGAGAAGCTGCTCGCGGTCGAGGCTGAAGGGAGAGAAGCGGAGTCGAAGATTCAGACGCTGACGGCAGATCTGGAGGGATGGAAGGAGAAAGCCAGGAAGGCTGAGGAGGCTAAGACAGGGAGCACGGAGCAGGCCAACGATACGGGCACGTCGGGCGAGCCAGGGGAGCAGGAGCAGGAGCAGGGGCAGGGGCAGCAGCGGGAGCATGAGGATGAAAGGAGGACGGGAAGTCACTTTGGCGAGGAGACCCTGAGAGCGGAGATGGAAAAGCTCTTGCAGGCCCTGAAAGAGTCAGACTGTCAGAGGGGAGAAGTAGAGCAGGAGCTGAGAAGCCTACAAGAGCAGAGCTCGGGCCAGCAGATGGAGCATGCTGCTGTGACGGAGACCATGCGGGCGAGGATCGAGGAGCTTGAGAGGCAGGTCGAGACGCTGCAGGCAAGCACGGAGGAGCAGGCATCAGCCGTAGAGAAGCTGGAGGATTTCAAGACTTCGAATTCTTCTGAAGTCCAGTCTGACAGTCTTCAAAATGTTTACTCTTCAAACCAGGAGATGGGCATATTTGAGAACATAGAACAGGTCTGCTCGATAATCGATGCCTTGCTACATCAGTCTCAAGCATCTGCTGCCGAGTTGCTGGAAGATCTTGAGCGCGTGAAGGTGAATTCCAGGAGAGTTGAGGAGGCAAAGTTAGAGGGTGTGGAGCAGGCCAACGATACGGGAATGTCGGGCGAGCAAGGGGAACAGGACAAAGAGAATGGAAGGAGGACGGGAAGTCACTTTGGCGAGGAGACCCTGAGAGCGGAGATGGAAAAGCTCTTGCAGGCCCTGAAAGAGTCAGACTGTCAGAGGGGAGAAGTAGAGCAGGAGCTGAGAAGCCTACAAGAGCAGAGCTCGGGCCAGCAGATGGAGCATGCTGCTGTGACGGAGACCATGCGGGCGAGGATCGAGGAGCTTGAGAGGCAGGTCGAGACGCTGCAGGCAAGCATGGAGGAGCAGGCATCAGCCGTAGAGAAACTAGAAGCAGAGAAGCGGGTAGCGGAAGAACAGCTGGCCTCAAGCATGCAGGAGGCGATGAGAGCCAAGGAGCAGCTGGAGTCGATCAAGGCGAAGGCGAAGGAGACGATTGAGACGGCCAAGGAAAGGGAGGCGAAGACCAAGGCGAGCATGGAGGACAAGGAGCTGAAGCTGAAGACGGAGATCGAGCAGCTGACGGAGAAGCTGCTCGCGGTCGAGGCTGAAGGGAGAGAAGCGGAGTCGAAGATTCAGACGCTGACGGCAGATCTGGAGGGATGGAAGGAGAAAGCCAGGAAGGCTGAGGAGGCTAAGACAGGGAGCACGGAGCAGGCCAACGATACGGGCACGTCGGGCGAGCCAGGGGAGCAGGAGCAGGAGCAGGGGCAGGGGCAGCAGCGGGAGCAGGAGGAGCAGGAGCAGGACGAATCTGCTCGAGGCACTTCATCTGCTTCGGTCATAGAGGAGCAGCATGACATGAGTGAGCAGGGGAGTGAGACGGGAAATGACGCGGAGACAATGAGGGTGGACATGAAGTCTGAGCTGCAAGCCCTCTGGCAGGAGAACAAGGACCTGAAAACTCAGCTCGATCGCGTTCGTTCGCAGGCCAAGAAGACAGTCGAGGTGGAGAGAGAAAGAGAAGCAAAGGAAAAGGCTGAGATGATCGAGAAGGAAGAGAGGATGTCGGCTGAGAGAGCCTATCTGATCAACCAGGTTGCAGAGCTGAACTCTCTCAAGGCCGTGCTGGAGCAGGAGCGAGACCTGGCTCGGAAGGAGCTCACTGCCGTCCAAGACTCGCACGAAACGACAGCAGGAGATGGAGAGGGGATGCAGAAGTTGCAGGAGGAATGCAAACAGCTGATGGAGGAGCTGGCGGATGAGAAGAACCGAATGGAGAGGTACAAGGCCGAGTACAAAAAGACGGTGCAGAGATACAAGGAGAGTCAGGAGGCGATGCAAGGCGAGAACGAGGTGCTGCGCGAGGAGAACACGCGCTTGAAGGAGGAGATGAGCAGAGCCAAGGAGAAAGAGGGAGACGCGAGCGCCGTGGATGTTGACGCAGAGCAGGCAAAGGAGGACATGAAGTTGGAGGACGAGAAGGTGGAGGACAAGGAGGAAGTCGAAGGGAGCATGGCAAATGGTCAGGAGAAAGCGGCAGAGGTAGAGGAGGGAGGTGTGGCCGCACCTCCTGCGAGCTTGAGCCAGAGCGAGGTTGAGGAGATGATGGCAGAGTACCGGAAGCTTCAGGTGACATTCGACAAGGAGAGGGGGAAGTGGGACTATGACTGCACGTCCCTGCGGGTTCAGCTGAAAGAGCAGCTGGAGAAAACGAAGGAAGCTGAGCAAGAGCTGGAGGACAACAAGAAGTCGATGGCGAAGGTGCGGCAGGAGGCCCAGAAGATGACGGACCATCTCAAATCGCAGCTGGGGGCGTCGGAGGAGATGGAGCAGAAGCTGAAGGAACAGGTGAAGGAACTAAGTGAGAGCAACGAGAAGCTGGAGGAGAAGGTCAAGCTGGTGGGCGAGGAGCTAGAGGCTGTTCGTCAGCAACTGGACAAGAGCTTGAGTGAGAATGAAGCCTCTCGAGCTGAGGTGGCGACACTGCTGGAGAAGCTAGACATGAGGCAGAAGGAGCAGGATGGCGGACTGCAGGCTGAGCTAGAGGCGCTGCAGCAGAGGATGGAGGAGAAGTCGGACAAGTACAAGAAGCTCAAGGAGAGTCACGAGACGCTCAAGACAGCCTGTGCGCGAGCCGTCGGGGACCACAAGAAGACCAAGGAAGTGAACGAGCAGCTGAAGGAGCGAGTGGAGGAGCTGGAGAAGAGGCTCATGATCGAGGCGACGGCCCTGCAACGATCGTCGGGTAGCATGAGCGAGCTCGAGGCATTGGAAGACCTCATGCGCACAGCCACCCTCAGCACTGCGAGCGAGCCGACGGATGCGACGAGGGAGAAGGAGAAGGCAGAGGATGAGGCAACGGTGGAAGGGCGGGAAGGAGCCTCCTCCTCCGACTTGCAGCTCGTCTCGTCGACGGACTCGTTGGAGGAGAAGGAGACGAACTTGGATGATTACCGACGACGCGCGAGGTGAGAGGAGGAGGCGGAGGGATGGGCTGACTGTGGTGTAGGGCAATGCTGCAAGATAAGGACGAGCAGATCGCCGAGCTTCGGAGCAAACTCAGAGCCGCGCTATCGAGGACTGGGAGTGGTTGGGGTGGGGGGGAGAATGGCTCTCCAGCTGCGAGCAAGCAAAAGGAATCCATGTTGGAGAGGCAGAATGCGGAACTTTTCCGAGAGATGGAGGAGATCGAGAGCAAGTACAAGCTGCAGGTACAACGTGCATCACTCCCTAATCCCCTCTCTTCCATGCAGATCGCCCTCCTCCTCCTCCTCTCCTCCTCCTTGCGTGACCCACACGCTGCAGGTTGACATTCTGAAGCAAGAGGTCGCGCTGCTCTCGCAGGCATCTCCTCCTCCTCCTCCTCTTAGTCTCTCACTCACTGTATTGGTCATGCAGGAGCTCAAGCGGCAGTCTGTGCCCCAGGAGTACCTCAAAGAAGTCATCGTCCGCTTCATCCTCTCTTCCCCGCAGCTGGGAGTACGGCTCTCTCTTCCTCTTGCATCTCCTGCTGACTTCTTTCAGGTGGGACCGCAGGAGCACGAAGCGCTGATCCCTGTCCTTGCCGACCTGCTCGCCTTCTCCTCGTCTGACCGCGAACGCATAGCAAATGCTCAGGTGAAGTTCACTCGAGCGAGAGTCCAGCTGACGTTGAGCAGAGCAAAGCAAAGAGCGGTTTGTTCAGCTCGGCTGCCAACTTCTTGTTCTCATGACCGTTTTGTAAGTTTTCGTTTCACTGTAAATATCTCAAAGGTCCCTCAAGCCTCTCAGCTCTCCCCTTCCTTCTACATCCCTCCCCTCCTCCTTCCTCTCCTCCACCCCCACCTTCTTTGCTTGTCTTCCACTAGAGTTCTACAGTTAAATCCGCTGAGAGCGACACGATGCCATGGTCCGAGCCCGACCGAGTCGCCTGCGAGAGATGAGGAAGAGGAGACGAGTGGCTGGAGGTCACCAGGGTGTAGGAGATAGAGGAGGCCCAGGAGTGCGCGCCAACGTCCCTACTGAAAGTCAGAGGAGGGGCACATAACGCGCAGCCAACAGGCGGGAAGGTGAAGGAGGCGGGGGAGGGGGGCAACCTGATCCCCAGCTGCTTCCACAATTTTTCGGTTGCAAGGATGCGATCACACCAGGCAGGAAATCGTTTGTCATGATAGCTGAGCCTGCGAGCCCACTTAAGATCTCCCTCCTCCTCCTCCTCCTCCTCCTCCTCCTACTCCTCCTCCTTCCTCGTCCTCTTCTTCGTCCTCCCCCTCCTGCTCCTCCTCCACGATCATGCCTGCTCGGCTCTTGTGAAAGTGAACCAGAGGAGTCGAGCATGTAGGATGGAGGCCAATGAGAGGCCTGGTCTGGAGGGAAGGCGAACTCGAAGAGGAGGGGGGAGGGGAAAAAAGAGTTGAACGCCTTCAGCTCCCTGATGAGATTCAGAGCAGCAACAATCAGAAGCGACCAGAGGCAAAGTAGGGGCAGGCGAAGGAGGAAAGGGAGTAAAAGTGAGGAGAGGAGAGGAGAGGAGAGGAGAGGAGAAGAACCTGTCGTAGGCGCGCAAGTCGTTTGATATCTCGTCAGAATGAAAATCATGCCAGACCCTATCCTTGCTCATCACCTGCCAGGGCGTTGAAGGGCGACCAGGGAGGGAGGTAGACTCTGGTAGGAACAGGGAGAGGTGGGGCGTGAGGGTGGCAGTTTTGACGTACCTTGACTCTCTGTGGGAAATCTTGACAGAGAGCATGAAGATCAAGACGAAAGTTGAAGTCGCCACTAAGGATGACTCAGGATATTGCTTTTCACCCTGCCTCTCCTGATCTCCTCCCGCTCCTACTCCTACTCCTGCTACACCCCTCCTCCTCTCCTCCTCTCCTCCTCGCACCAGGCAATGAAGGACGAGCTGTCTGACACGTTTGCTGACTTGACTATGTGATGGAGCATCGCGTTTCTCTCCCTGTGACAACTCATGTCAGCATGAATCCCAAGTCCTGCGCAGCTGACATCCTGCTGCGCTCGTCTGTGCTCCTGTCCTCTTCTTCCCCCTCCTCCCATCTCACACTGACTTCGCTTCCAGACATGTCCTCCTCGCTTCGCTCTGTCCTATCTTTCTCACGTTCACCTCGCAGCTCGCGACGGAGACGAGGCAGCACTTTCAAGGTTGTTGCTGTCGTGCAGGAGGTGAACGTTGGCCACATCTAGCAGCGAGAGCTTTCGGCAGCCATTAGTTGCGACGGGCCAGCCCTCTTCATCACCTCCCCGAGCCTCCAGCGACTCAGCAGAAACCCTTTCCGACTGCTCCTGTCGCACACGCTGAGTGAGGGAGGAGCAGGAGAGGCTCTCACTCGTGCGTCTTCTCGTGCTGGCAAGCAGGAGGCAGAAACGTGAACATGCAGAGCTGGGGGTCGTGAGCTTCAAGTGCATGCCGGGGATCCTGCAGTTGAATCAGGAAGCGAAAGAGCAGGAGACCCCAACCTCCTCCTCCCCGGTCTTCAAGTTGATCGACCTGATCACCCCGGCATCGAGCAGATCCTCATCGGCAAAGAAGATGCAAGCGAGCCCTGTGAAGCTCTCAAGCTCCTGCTCCTTCACGTCACTGCTCTGCCTCATCTCAACCTCCTCTCTCCTGCACGAACGACATTCAGCTGTTGCCTCATCTTTCTCAAGAGAAGCAACCGTGACTCGTCGGAGCAAGGCCTTCCAGTACAGAACACAAGCCGCGATGCCCACAAGCGCTTCCTCTCGGACAAGTACCTTGCTGTCAACCTGCTGCAAAGCAGATCCAGAATTTGTGATAGCATGTTGTCGGGGCGGGAGAGCACGGCGACGTTTTCCTTGTGCTTTCCTCCCATCTCCTGCATGTTAAGGTAGATCATGTCGGGCAGCTCGTGCTTCAAGCATCCCACGATGGCGTCAACCCACGTCTCCATGTTCCTCTTACTGCGAGGCGAGGTCGGCAGACTAAAGCAAGAAGGAAGAAGCTCGGAGGGGTAGAGGCCTCCCACGTTGCTGCTGATGAAGAGCAGCCGCATGCTCTTGTAGGCGACGAGATGTCAGACTGACAACGGACACCTTACAGAGGCAGGGAAGAAAGAGAGAGAGATAGAGACTCAGAGAGAAGAGAAAGGAGAGGAGGGTTGCCGAGTGAGAGGAGAGGAGAGGAGAGGAGAGAGGTCTAGAGCTCAGAGAAGTGGGTCCGAGCGGGTACAGGGCAGTAAGTCAGCCTATGGGCGGTAAGGGAAGGGGGCGGACAAGAAACTGCCGCTACGGTGAGCGAGGGACACGAGGGGGGCTCACTGACTTCACGGGCGAGGGTCCGATAGTCAAAGGGCCACCAGCCTCTAGGGCCCGGCCCTTCCGGTGCCGGCCCGGCCGACGGCCAGTAGGAAGTAGGCTAGGGTGGTCCTAGCCCGGTCATACTGGAATTATTATGAGAGAGCCTTGAGGTCCTAGGACCCGTGCCTAGATGAGGTTTCACCCAAAATAGAACGCGGAAGCCAAGAGCGATGGTAAGCTGGCATGCAAATGCAGTTGATGAAGAGGAAAGCGAAAAAGCAGTCGATGGTGTCTGTGCCATCAGAGATTGATGTTATCACGTACAGAGGATTTTACCCTCGAGTCATACTGCATCTGGATTGTTTTCACTTTTTTTATTTGCATGTCGTCATTTGCAACATTTAGGTTGTAACTAAAACAGACGTTCATCTGTCCGGCGTTTGGATTCGTCATGACTCGATTGATGTTATCTGATCGAAATGTTGTTTTAGTGTTTGTATCAATAAGTTTTGGTGTTGGTAGTCTATTCTTGTCACCTCGTTTGGTTTGTAGCGTATCCAACGCAAAAGCTTTGATTTCGCTTTCAAATTAGCTGACAAGAAATGTGCACAGTTCCAGGCACTTTACGGAAAGAAGGCAGCAGCCCTGTATACCCAGGCGGGTGATTATCAGAAGACAGCTCGCTTCTATTACAAGAAGGCAGAGGACACTTACTATCAGGCTAACAACTGGGCCGCCTACGATGACTGGCGTCGTGCTCGTGACCAGTGGGACTACTTTTACTCCCGCAACCGGTAAGATCGTGAAGTTTGGTATTTGCTCTCTCATGCTATGAAGGTAAACTCTTCTGGATATCGTGCAATTCATTGTTACGTGGTCGGTGGTCGAGATTACTTTTGTGCAGAGTATAGTACTATTTTCATAAAGATTTGGCACTCCTTCTCATTAAGAGGTTTGAAAGACTGCTCTGGCATCTTTCATATTCGCGTTCTCCACAGTCCTTTGATAGACGCTTGTGCTTTCTCACGGATTTACTTTCGACACCGGCATTGGCTTGATGTGTCACAAAGAAAGTCCTAGCAAGTGCCAGGACTGATGACCTCCTGTATCTGTGCTGTTTCCCTCCATCTGATTATCTCTGTATCCTATCCTGATTGAAAGACAAAGGAAGAAGAATGTGAAAAAGAAGTGAATGAGCGAGGGCAACCATGAGCGCTTGGGGTTTGGATCGGAGGAAAGTAGAGAAAGGGAGCGGGACTCTCATTAGTTTGCTGCTCTCCTGAAAAATACTGATTGCCTGCAAGTTTTTGTGTCAGCAAAGTGTCAATCGTACCATAGAACAAAGGTGAATACTGATATGAAATTATAAAAGCATTTCATATTCAGGACAATTGGCTGCCACAGGACCGAAAACGTATTTGAACAACTCTTTGTTTATCCAACGAAAATTGTTTTTTCAGTGTAATCAATTTTTAGGACCTACATTTGGTTAGTTGTAAGTATGGTTGATTAAAGTTTTTGATTGGAAGATACTGAGACGCAATATTCGAGAAGCTATGCGGAAATTTCTGGCATTGTGTAGGAAGGCCCCTTGGCTTATCGGAACCACAATCTGAGGAGTCTGCGACGAATCTTCTCTTTCTTGGTCTTGAGTCTTTGACACCCTTCGGTCTTCCGCGTGTTCTTGAAGATGAGATTGAGTTGGGGGACGGAGTACGTTTCATGTCATCTGCAAGAAGTGAGGCAACGCTTCCTGGAGGACATTTCTCTGTGTCTTGCTCTTGCTTTTCTTTTTCTCTGTAACGAATTTCATCTTCTTCGGACCAGAATTCCCGTGTTGCCTTGACCCAAGTCTCTCGTTTCCAAATATCTCTGATTGTCTTCGCACTAACACCGAACTGCTTTCCCACGGTTACAGACTTGCTGGTAACATGCAAAGTGTCTGCAGGCAACTGTTTGTAGATTTCAACAGCTTGTTCTGCACTGAGCATTATCTTCCACGACTTGCGTTTTTTGTCACTGTTGGAGGAGGCATCGCTACTATCCTCAGCCTCCCTCCCTTCGTCTTGGGATTCAAGACTCTTCCCCCTCATGCACGTTACATCCTGTTTGATATGCTTCTGATTTGACAAGAGATTTGAATCCTTGATCATCTTTAAGTTCTGAGTTGCTTCATGGAAATCAGAGCTTCCGGCGAAATGAATGCGATACGACTGTGGCAAAGCGTTGAAACCAATTTCGGAGTGCGGCTTGATAACCTTGATGCCATTGGAAGGCAAATCAAGAGATGTGATACAGCGACTCCCACTAGGCAGCACATAATTTTGATTACTCTCGGTATGAGGTCTTCCATAGAGCGTTTGATTGAAAGAATGCAAAAGTGAATTATCCAAGCACGCAAAACTTGACACGAATGGCAAGGGAAGAGGCAAGACTGATCTCAGCGGTTGCGCAACCACGCCTGAATATCCTGCCTCCTTGTCTGGACGCACAGAGATAGTGTATGAAGACATGAATCAAGTGCTAAGGGATTCTGAAAGGTATTAAAAAAAAATTGAATTGAATTGAGATGGTGTCAGAATAAAACAGAATGCAGTGTAATCGACTCAAGCCAATGTCGCATACTTCAAATTGACATTGTTTCAAGCACGACAGATATGCAGAAGAGAAATCTGTCGCCAAATCCGTATGGGGGAGTCCCTTGAAGATTACGCCAGAAGGGCGAAAGGAATGGTGATAAGGAATGGTAAGGAGAGAGGATTGGAGTACACGAAGGGGTTGAGTTGAGATTCTGATAGATGCGGTGAAACAAGGTGAGCAGAAAAGGACGGGAGGGAAGCAGCTCAAGACGCGGAAAGGGGGGGCAAAAGAGCAGGTGGATGGGGTAGGGGTAGTGAATAGAGCGGGGTAGTAGGTATGGATGAGGTAGGTGGGGTGGGGGTGATAAATCCATCTGAGAATGGAGGAATGGCGAGTATTTATAGGACCCACCAGATTGAGGGAAAAAATCTTACATATGCAGGGAGGGGTACTGACCTGTGGCCTCCCATGTCCAGTCCGCCAAGTAGCGCTGGTGAAGGCAGGGATGAGGCCCTAGGAGATCCACTCCCTAGGACCCCGAGAAAATTATGTTAGGGTTTCCTAACAAGTTATGTGCTAGGAATCCGTATCTCCTACGTCGAGATTAGCCCCGATCTCATAATCATGATCTCCTACAATCTCGTGCGATCTCAAATTGCGAGATCTTACAGAATCACAATGGTTGATTCGTTCGTTGCGCTAACTACTCTTTTTTTGCTTCCGGCCCTCCGAGATTCATCGAGATTCTTTAGCCTCTTCTTCAAAGGACATGTTTCCGTTTTGTTCTTCCCAGATACCATCTCGTAAAGTATGGCATGCTCCACTTTTCAATCGTTCAGACCCTACCCTACTCCGGGCCATGGCCTTCTGCCGCTTTCCATACCCCTTGTTTCGCCTACCATGGTCAGTACCCCAGTTAGGCGAGGCAGTCAGTTACCAGCGGCCTCTCTACAGCACCAGACTCGACCATCGGTCAAGCTCAGAATGGAGTGATAACCCGTAGCCTCCAACCACCCTACCTCACCTACCCGAATCCCTTGAGGCTAGAAGTCCACCTGACCCCCCCTACTTACCGCAAGTCCTCTTCTAGGGGTATGGGGTTGATGGGGGACGGCTTCAATTCTTAAAATGTTGTTTTTATCTGAATGGCAGAGATCGGGCGAGATACCCGTAAGATAGACCGTTACTGTGGTTTCATGACTCCAATATCGTTACATGGTTGTAACTGCCGTCACAATTTTTCGTCGCCCGTTACATATCAATCTGTCAGTTACAGCAATATGAAGAACGGCTAGGCGGTTACGTGGTCAGAAGGCGGAATGGAGGGATACGATGACTCCATGGAGGACGAGGGGGAAGCTGCTCGCTTGCTGCCATCAAAAGCAGATCCATCTCCTCTGTTGAACTCTCCACTTCCTCGTCATCAGATCTCATCCCCTGGTGAGACATATTGATACTTGTATGATCAATTGTCTGAGTGTTTTGAAGCTTTTTGCTCATGTCAACAAATTTCTTCTTTATTAGTTCGACTTAATGATTTGTTGCAGGTGTTTTAAACAGCAAGGTTCCAAAACTGAAATTAGCGGCGTATCATCTTGCCAAGAACTGCAGCAAGGTAGCGACCAACGTTTCCCCTCGATTCAACAGCAAGGAAGTTTTCCTCGCCGTCAAAAGTCAGCTGGGTCTAGGTAATTAAATAATTTCGATTACTTTTACAATCTGATCAAATTCAACCTGCTGCTCAACAGTAGGACGGGGTAGAACAACCAAACGAGGAGGCGAAGACGAGGTGGCTTCATGTCCAACCCCAACCATTTCTCACCTCAGTCCCTCTGAAGCGAGTCATGAGGGTGAGTCTGTTGCCTCCCCAGAAGTTTCATGTTGTTGGTTTAAAGACGCAACTCATCAGATATGGATGTTCTCCACGTCCTAGATGAATCTTTGCCGGCGGACTGGTTTCAAGACTGTATTGGAATTTCAGAAGACAAGAACATTCCTGCAGTGGTTGACAGAAGAACTCATGACTTGAGAAGTGCGTATCAGAGATCAAGAAAGTCTCCAACTGCATCGTGCTTACCGTGTCAGGATTGGTCTGGTGGTCTCAGTGGACCTAAGAACACAGAAGTAGCACAGGATCAGGTGGGAAGTATACAAGAGATTCTGGTGAAACAGACACCAGAACTCCAACAATTTTTCATCGCAGAAGATTCAAGACATCGATTGGCCCCTTTGCATGTGAATAGGAAACTTTTTGCCGAAGAGCTTTCAGTCGGACAAAAGGAGGTATTTGAACCAAAATCTCGTTAATTTTGTTGATTCACTTGCGTAGGAACTTCATTCCAACGAGGCTCGTTGCAATGGCATCAAGGACGAGGGAGCCTCCATTTCAACTTTGACACTCATTTGCACTTTGCTGGCATTATGTTCTTTTGTCTTGGTCTTCAAGGCCGTCGATGGCACATCGCTTGCTTTTTCGATCTATACTAGGTACAAACATGTTCCTTCACCAGCAGAGAATTTCGTGGTGCTTCTCAATTGTTTTTTCTCATTTGTTTTTCAGCGCCAACCTTCTTCCTCTTAACGGAAAATTAGCAATGTGGTATCATAGTGAGATAGCATCCACCTCCTCAAACTTGCAACGGATGATCTGGCTGGTATTTGTTCTATAATTTGATCTCTTGTGTAACTCATGATCTTCCTGTTCTCTCTGAGGTTGATCTGAATCGCCAACCATGCAGGGCTGGACCTCATCGTTCAAATCCTACTTAACTCCTGGCTGCTTAAAGGATCAGACGCCTTCGGTTCCAAATTCATGTGCAATTGGTCCTAACTAACTGTTTCATATCGGTCGCCAGGGTGAGCTCGTCCACGAGGTCTCTGAACAGGCAAAGTGAGTGTAACCATGGGATGAAGGCGGTGATGTTGTGTTGACAGGCCTCTGTGGTCATCTCCCCTCGATCTTCTTCCTCCATGCTCTCTCGTCTTTCTCGCTTTCTTACTGCTACCGTCGCCGACTTCCCTCATGCGAGGATCTCTCCCTTCGACTAACAGCCATCGGACCCCTACCCTCTGACTAGACACCCACCCCTTGTCTCCCTATTGGCTGAATGAATGATGTGACTGCATACCCCCGTTGCGCACTTTGACTACCCACCCCCGTTGGGCATATTTGACTACCCACCCTGATATCTCTTTTATCGAGTCTCCTTGCGTCCCTAGGCAAGAGGATTCGCGATGCCGCATTTCAGTCGGCGAAGGCGGAGGATGACGAAGGGGGAGGGGGGGAGGGGCGGGAGGGGAGCATGCGAAGTAGCTGAAGTATGATAGAAGCGATGGCATGAGCTCGGAAGAGATGTTGTTAGCAGAAAGGGAGCGAGGGAGTGGAGTTGGAGAAAGGAGAAGCCAGGTTCTGGCAGGTACATAGAGAATGACTTGATAGTAATGGTAAGCATGGAATTTTCATCAAACGAGAGCTTGAGCAATATGGGGCTGATGATATCATGTAAATCAAATCAAACATAGAGATATGAATTCAAGCCACTTAGGGTGATCGATTTAGCTCTGACCTACGATGTTGTCTGTAGGCGATGGTAGTTCTTTTCAAGTCTTCTCTCGTCGTTTTCGCTCTCATTCTCCAACTCTCTACGAGTTTGGCTTTTGTCAGTCATTTTACAGCACGCTTGAGGGGCTTGAGGCAGTCGTTAAAGCTAAGGGAACCATGCTGCAAGCACAGTCTTGGTACATCGCCAAGCTTTTCTCCGATGCTACACCCACGTGTCATTCCAAAAAAGACGGCACTGAGCATGTCTGGAGCAGGGGACAAAGCATTTTATATCAATCAGCAAGAGCTTGAGAAAGCAGAGCAGCAGCTAGAGGAGGCTGTGGCGTCGAATGATATTGGTGCCATCAGCCGAGCTCTCGCGAAGCTAGAGAAGATTCAAGGACCGCTGGCAGGAAAGAAACCCTTCGATAAGTCCAGCGTTGACAAAGCCAAGGAGACAGACTTGATTAACAGCGTACTGGGCAAGCAGACTGAGACTCCTGCGGAGGCTGCGGAGGACTTGGCAGATACCATTGCAGGGGTTGAAGCGGCAGAAAAAGAGATTGAAATTCAAGCGCTGGAGCAATACCTTGACGAATCCATCGTCACCAACGATGCCGAGAGTGTTCAAATTGCCATTTCCAAGTTGAGAGCTCTGAAGCCCTTGAGTGAACAAGAGGCGGAGGCCTCCAAAGGCTCGGTCGATGAAGTGGCCGATGCAGTTGCGTTGGCTTTGGAGCGAGCGGCGATTGAAGAAGGGCATGACGTCGATATATTCGAGATCTTAGAGGGAGTCGGAAACAAGAATGTCAGGGTTCAGGCACTTGGAAAGATTATCGACGACGCAGTCAGCAGCAATGACAGCAAGCTGCTGGAGAAGGCCTTGAGAACTCTAGAAAAGTTGATGGGTGACGAAGCTGGAAGCGCGGTGTCAGGCCAGGCAGTCGACCCCTCCCTCATCAAGGATCTTCTTTCAAAGACAGGAATTGAAAACTTGCAATCGGCTCAGGCTGCACAAGAAATCTCAGACGTAATTGCTCAAGTTGAGGGAGTAGAGTCCGAATTAGGGGATGATGAGGACGAAGATGTGTGGAGGTCTCTGAGGGAGATTCAAGACAAACGGCTAAAGGTCTCCAACTGTCTCTGAATCAGTTGCTCTATCCTCTCAACTTTTACACAGGCTGCTGCCATTGAACGACTTCTTGATGAAGCCATAGAGAGCGGCGATGAAGACCTGCTGGCTGACTGCCTGCTTTCTTTGAGATTTGTCGAAGTAGCGGCGATAAAAGATTCCAACAAGAATCTTGAAAAGACTTTGAGAGCTCTTAGAGAACTCACAGGACGCGAGGTATCGCAACAAGAGGCATTTGAATTTGCCGTAGCAATCCAAACGGCTCATGAGTCAACTGAGTGGGACGGTGTTGATATGTTCGACAAAGTCCAAGACAAGAAGCTTGCGATTGGTCCTTGAGATTTGCCCTGATGATGTTCTGCACTGAGTTTGTCGACAGATTGGACTTTGAATAGTTTGGATGAGAGCGTCAGGTCGAATGACGCGGAGGGAATCCAACAGAGCATCGATCAGCTGACGCGGCTCGAGTATTCCTCAACAAGCGAGGAGAGAGATTTCAAGCAGCAGATTCTCAAGGCGATGGAGGCCTCAGGCATGAAGTTTCAGGCGCCATCGGATGTGAGGGAGAGAGGAACAGCCACCTCCATGCCTCTTACCTCCCCCCTACAGGCCATGGACGACATCGCTGAAGCTTTAAAACTAGCGGAGATCGAAGAAGCAGGCTCGGCAGCCGACTCTGGTGATCTTGTCAGTATTGTACAATCACCTTGATGTTGCATAGGTCCCTCAACAAGAGCTGCAATCGAGGAGCTCATGGAGGAAGTTGACGAGGAAGAAGACGTGGAGGATCAAGATGAGAGTCCCATGACAGGCTGGGAAGATGTTGGAAGAGCTAATTCGGGTTGACGACCTGCTGACTTTCTTTGTGACAGGATGAGGACGAAGATGGCCCGGATGAAGGTCAAGGCTTGTCTTGGGTGCAGCAGGTATTTCATGCTACCATGCTTTTCGCTCTGGTCACTCTAAGCAGGCAAGGGAGATGGCGGAGCAGGAGGCTGCCGACATGTCTCTGCGGGTCTCCTGCTGCCTCGTTGCCGGGTATCCCCTCACCGCTGCTAGGTTGTTGATGCGCGATGGACAAGAGGAAAGCTTGTGTTCAAGGTGGAGATCGCTGAGATCTCGCCAACGGCTGATGGATACGGCAGGTGGAGCATGTCGATGCCGACCAATTCTCTGTGGGAATCGAAGAATGCGAGAGGTTGAGCAAGTCACTCGGTAAGGACAGGGAGGGCAAAAGGGAAAGGGCGGCCATGAGAGCAGGGGGAAGCTCTGTTGAAGGCAGGTACTCAGGTTGAGAGAGATAGGTGATGAGTCTGCAGGTTTCCGGCTTGATGCGGCTCCTTTCATGCTCGACAGGCCTTACAACCTCGTGGTCTCCACACCGGGAGCAAAGGATGTGCTCACAAGAGAGTGAGACTTCTCCTGCCTCTCCTTCTCTTGCGTCTTCACTTTCCCGTCTCTTGCCCATATCGCCTCTTCCTTGTTCTGCATTCTGACATGTCACATTGCAAGCCGGGAGTTTGCTGCCTTCAAGGGCTTCCCAGTGACGGTGACGACCAAGGAGCCTTTCAAGAACAAGCTCGTCTTTGAGGGCAACCTACACGTCTGGTGCACAGCCCTCATGCTCTCATTTTAAGAGATCGCAGGATCGGTCGGAGGAGGCAGTCAGGATCAACGTGAAGGGCAGGATTGTCTCTATCCCTCGGCCGTTGGTAAGGCACATGTGGTGGAGCATAGCGCTGAGCAGCTTGACTGATCAGGTTCTGGAGGTGAAGATTGTCAACGATTTCACTCCTCTCTCATGAGCGACTTAGCTTATCTACCGCCATCGCCGGCTTCTCTTTTCGTATCATCACATAGCGAATGTCCCGCACATACGTCTGTCAGCCTCCCAAAGTTGCTGATGCCTTGGCCTCCATCACAGCGATGATGACCCATAAGATGGCGATGAGAAGCCAGAGGAGCAGAGCGACGCAGCTGTACTTGACCCACTTCCTCATGTAAGGATGCTGGCGCGGCATCAGCCCGGCATGAGGAGCAACATTTCTACCTGACATCGAAAGTGCAACAAGATGTTGAGGATGAGGAAGATGGGGATGAGGGTACCGATGACAAAGAGCATCCTCGCTTTCGTACTCGGCTGAAGGATTCAGTGAGTTAGGAGGAGGGGAGCGAGGGTATGGCATCATCTAAACCAGTCGACGATACCTGGATGTAACGGTCGAGGAAGGATGGTCTGCCAGTCCCCGTCCAACTTTCTGCTTCTGTTTCGCCCCCCTCCTCTCCTTGGCGGTCGGAGCGCGGGTCTCTGACAGCGACTCCAGGTCGCTCAGGTTGAGGATCTTCAGGTCTCTGCCGCAGCGAGACGAATTCGCTTCTCTTTTCTTTCTTCTTCTTTTCTCTTCGTTTGCCTGTCGCCCAACTTGGCAGCCTCTCTGCACAATCCTCCATCGACTCTGCCGCAAGCATTCCCATCCTCTCGGCCTGCAAGCGCCTGAGCTTGAGTGCCTACCTCCGTCTCATCCTCCAACCACCTGCAAGGCGAGGCTGTTGAGTGCAGGCTTGGATTTCTTGTTGCTTCCCTTCGCCTTCCTAGTAATTCTCTTCTCCGTCGCTGCTGCCGCTTGCATCCCCTCAGGCTCGGCTGTGTCGAACGCACAGACCTGAGCGTCCTGGTCCTCCAGGTCGAAGTTTTGAGGATCGTCGCTGCACTCATGGAGACGAGCAGGGGACAGATCAGCTGATCTAAGACCTTCACAAGGACCTTCCTCCTTCACCTTCCTCCTCGCCCGTTCTGACTCGCCCACCAGATTGAGATCAAGATGAACATGCAGCTCGTCAATCTCCTCATCTTGCACGTCTACCGATGAAGATGGCGAGAGTTCAACGTCTCTCAACATGATCGAGTGCGCGAGAAGACAATCGGGTTCGATGCAAGACAAGGAGGAGGATGCGAGGGCTGGTGACATGCGACTTTTCTCAAGCTCGAGGGCAGGAGGCGTTAGCGTGTGAGTGTCTTGACGGTAAAGGTTGGAGATGGTGATCCGGTACTTGTCCGTCAGCTCCTGCCTGACCCGCGGGTCTCTCAGCCTGTTTGTCTTGGGCAGTTTGAAGGGAACGATGACGAAGCGCTGTGTGAGCATCAGACAGCAGGAGGGGAGGGACAAGTCAAGTCTACTTGGATCCAGCACGAGACGCCAGCGTTGAAGAGCGCGATCTGCTCTGACATGTGCCTGCCACACACTTAAGAAGCCGCCAGACCATCAGGCCGGAGTATCACGAATGGCCATTGACCTTTGAAAGTTGTCGCACAGACACGCGTCTTTCACTGTCTTCGCGTCGCTTCCTCCCCTTCTTGCCGCCTCTTTCGCATCTGCATGCAGCTCTTTCGTCCCGGGCACCTCATCACTCTGTCAACACCCTCCCGCTCCTTGTTCATCTCACTGTCTTCAGGCTTAAGAGAGCCGCTAAGTAAGGCCTGGCGTCCCCAACCACCATCGCTTGTTTGAGGCATGCTACCGATCGTACAAGCTCCGCTTCGTACTTCTGCCCGCATGCTCAGTCAAAATTTCAGCGACCAAGCTCTTCACCAAGATATCGACCGACGTCCCATCCAGCAGACGACAAGTAACAGCATGGGCCTCTGAAGAGGGATCAATCTTCATTTCGTGTTATTCTCCACGTACGCACACACACATGAATGATCTTTCAGCATTCTCAACATGGTGAATTACAATCAGTACGGATTTTCTCTCCATCAATGAAAAATGAAGGAGATTTACCCGGACTTGCTCCTTCTAGCCTGCAAATCTCAACATCAGACACGTCTCCTTCTATCCCTCTCTCCATCTCTCTTCCTCTCCCTCTCTCTTCCTCTCCCTCTCTCTCACCTCGACGGATCAAGGGCAGCAAGTACCGCTGGTGAGGCCTGAGATTTGCAGATGAGATGGTTGGGTTGATAGACGTCACAGAGCGGCAGGTGCGCTTTGGAGTGAACGCAAACAAGGAGGAGGATGAACGAGGAATGGAAGAGGAGAGGCTGCGCATTGTCGCACCTTCACTGCCATGGCACCTCGCTCATCCTCGAAGAGTTCGGCAGAGCATGCGAGACCTCAACATAGGTAAATGAGAAGCAGGAAGAAGCCCGGGGTCTTCGCTTCTCCGGCTCTTGTATTCTCCACATCTCCCTCCCTCCCATACCCGCAATTCCTTCCATCCGTCCTGCCTGTTCCTCCTCCCACAGATCATCTCAAAAACTACATCAAACAACTCCACACTCTTCTTCCGATTCAGAGAACGCATCCACTACTCCTTTCGATCCTCTCCATTCAATTTGGCCCTACAATCTTCTCCTTTTCGCTTCTAACCTGTCCTTCGCTCTTCTACTCTCCACCAACCTCCTCTCTACTGCTCCCCTCAACCGCTCACCTCCTCACCTCTACTTCCCGGCGCTAGCTCCTTTTTTGACTCCGAGGCTCCCAACTTCGCTCCGGGCCCGGCGGGCCCCGGGTCCGGGGCCGGCGATACCGGGCCCGGCTCGGAGCGGCCGGCAGCCGACTGACCGTCGGACCGCTGTCAGTCGACGCGCAAGGACCCCGTCCGATCGGGAGGCAAGCAGGCGAGCTCGGACCAGGTGTGAGTGGCGTCGAGCTCTCCGGAGGCATCCGACGTCACAATGATACTCCTCGGCAGCGCCGGCAACCGTCCCGGCGGCGTGCCTCGGACCACCCGTGACGGCGGCGACTCGGACGCCACATCAATGCCCAGGGACCGGGGCTGTGCGGCGGTGGCATCGAAGGCAGGTGAGCTCGGACCAGCAGCAAGCACCCCAGTGGTGTCGAGCTCTCCGGAGGCATCCGACGTCCATGACTGACTGAGTGGTCAGTCGGCTGCCTCCGGGTATCGCGTCTAAGGGATTTTATTCCTCCTGTTTTATCCATTACTCCGCGTCTGGTTGCCAGCAGTGCTGGTTCTTTTCGGGCTTGTGTTTTGTGTGTGATTGTGCAGCTTCTCGCTGTGCGCTGTGTGCCTGGAGATACAATGGAGGTTTAGCTTGTTCCAGGTACCCTCCCATCCTCATGGCCGCAAGATGAAGGGCGATATCCACATCCCTGGCATCCGCGATCGAGGGTCCGAGCAGTACGAGGGCTTGATGGCGGACGTGACGTTGGTCCACCCTTAGTACATTGGTAGCTCTCAGCGGCCGACCTGACCAAGTGGGGGGAGGTCAACCTCGACGCCCTCCATGTTGCAGCGTCTGAGAAGATTCGCAAACATCGCGCTGCATATGCTATGACTACTCCTCCTCGAGCGTTCATCCCTCTTGCCATCTCGACGGACGGTACCCTGCATCCTGACACCCTCCGCTTCATCTGGTATCTGGCGGACATCCGATCATTGCTCAGCGCTCGATGCCTCTTGAGGATGCGGACGGTTTGGTCGGCACTTCGTGCCTCAGATGACGGACCTGCTGCTGAGGTCTTGGCTCGCAAACGCGCCGCCACCTATCAGCGCCTCACTATGCAGCTGACGCTGGAGGCGCTCTTGTCTGGTGCGAGGCGCATGACGCCCTTGCGGGCGCAAGCACTTCTCGAGCCAGAGGACAGCTCCTCCTCGGACTTTGTCGAGTCGCCTGAGGGGGAGTCTTCGCCGGAGGTCTCCGACTCCGATGGGGGAAACACTTCGAGTGGCCCCGACGATCGGCGCGGAGCTGGCTGAGCGTCTCCGTCCCTCTCTGTGACGTCGCCGGGTGCCTCCGGAGAGCTCGACACCACTGGGGTGCTTGCTGCTGGTCCGAGCTCGCCTGCTTCCTCCCCGGCATCGGTCGGGTCACGCCGGTCCTTGGGCATTGCTGCGGCGTCGCCGCCGTCACGGGCTGCTACCGCTGACTCGGCTACCGCTGACTCGGAGCCTGCTAGCGAGGAGGACTACCTCGAGCGGTACCGTGTTCATGTGTCCAGCCTCCCTCCGTCCGCTGCCCCCGGCGGACCCCCGGGCAACGCCGGCTCCTTGTCGGCGTGCAGCTTCTCGCTGTGCGCTGTGTGCCAGGAGGTTTAGCTTGTTCCTGCTTTGTTTTGCTTGAGGCACTTTCAGTTTACCTTCTGCCAGTAAATCCATCGACCAGTTTACCTTCTGCCAGTAAATCCATCGACCGGTTCCTGCTTTGTTTTGCTTGAGGCACTTTTTACCTTCTACCAGTAAATCTGTAAACCCCTCCCATCCTCATGGCCGCAAGATGAAGGGCGATATCCACGCGGCTTCGCGCTTGGGCTGGCGGTGCCGCGTCTGGGTGCCAGCAGTGCTGGTTCTTTTCAGCGGACGTCTCGACTGACAGTGGTCAGTCAGCTGCCTCCGGGTATCGCGTCTAAGGCTATAGGATTTACTGGCAGAAGGTAAAAAGTGCCTCAAGCAAAACAAAGCAGGAACAAGCTGAACCGGCAGGCACACAGTCCACAGCGAGAAGCTGCACAATCACACACAAAACACAAGCCCGAAAAGAACCAGCACTGCTGGCAACCGTCAGCGCGGCAGCGCCAGCCCAAGCGCGAAGCCGCGCAGACCGTACCGACAAGCAGCCTAAGGGTCAAGCAATCAAGCAACAAGCAGCAGGAGCATGCAGGAGGAATAAAATC